GTTGCCCAGAGAAGCTGTGGCTGCCCCTGGATCCCTGGAAGTGTCCAAGGCCAGGTTGGACGGGGCTTGGAGCACCCTGGGCTGGTGGAAGGTGTCCCTGCCCGTGGCAGGGGTGGCACTGGATGGGCTTTGAGGTCCCTCCCAACCCAAACCTTCCCTGATTCTGATTCTCTCTAAATGTCACTATTTGAGGAACTTGCCTTTTTCAGCCACTGTGGTCTTTTCGTTACAAAAACTATTCACAGCTCTCAATATCATGCCCAGGCATCTTAAATGAAGGGTGAATTTCAGCCATCAAGACACACCTCTTCTTAGAAGTGATGATCTGCAGGCCAAGGTTATCTCCAGGAGATATATGGGGAGTTTATCTCTCCACATAAGTCCAGTTGGGTTTGCTGTTATATAAAGTGCTCTGAGCAGGCTGTTTGCATGACTAACTCCTGTACTTCCTCCCTGCCTCAAGGAGACTCGATTTCATCAGGAGTTACTGTAAATGAATCACTAAACCCATATTTTTTTTATGTTAAGCCTCCCAGCCTGCTGAAATGCAGACTCTGCAACAGGCTCAAGGCCTCCAGGAAAGCCTCTTCTGGTTCTCAATTTACCAGTAAATATCCTAAATCCTGCTCTGGTTCAGAACATGCAAACAAAACACAGGGAGGGAGGTGTTGCTTTTTTCCTTTGTCATCTCCCCTTTTAACAGGCAGAAACAGTGTCACCCGAGCCTCACATGAAATCATGGAATCATGGAACAGTTTGGGTTGGAAGGACCTCAAAGCCCATCCAGTGCCACCCCTGCCATGGGCAGGGACACCTCCCACCAGCCCAGGGTGCTCCAAGCCCCGTCCAACCTGGCCTTGGACACTTCCAGGGATCCAGGGGCAGCCACAGCTTCTCTGGGATTTCTATTCCAGGGCCTCCCCACCCTCCCAGCCAGGAATTCCTTCCCAATATCCCATCTAACCCTGCCCTCTGGCAGTGGGAAGCCATTCCCTGTGTCCTGGCACTCTGGGTCCAGTTTGCTGCTGTGCCTGTGAGTGGGAGAGGAGAACCTGGAGCTCAGTGGGGCCAAGCTCCTGCTGTGACACATTTGCATTAACTGCTAAAGAAATACAAGTATTTCCTGCCTTTTGCCTGGATATCAGCTGCTGGCTGGTGTGTCCTGGGGTTACAAACACTTCCCTGTGCTACCACATGGAAATACCAACTGTGACAGCTCCAACTTTCCAGTGAAAACTCAAATCTCTTCCCTGGGGTGACATAACTTCACTGTCTGTGCCTTTAGGTCTAGCACCTTCCAGTGCTCGAGGAGAGAAGGCTCCAGGGAGAGCTGAGAGCCCCTTGCAGGGCCTAAAGGGGCTCCAGGAGAGCTGGAGAGGGACTGGGGACAAGGCCTGGAGGGACAGGACACAGGGAATGGCTTCCACTGCCAGAGGGCAGGATTAGATGGGATTTTGGAACCAAGATGTCTTGCTGCATTGGAGATGCCCCTTTACACATCTAAATACCCTTCCATGACCTCCAGAAGGCCCCAGCTGGCAGAGGAGGGTCCAGATCATCCCAGCTTCCTCACACATGTCAGCAGAGCCACCACAGCAAAGTTTGCAGGGGGAGGATTTGAGGCTGAACAGACCAGTTTGGGGCTTCTCTAAGACCTTTATTCCTTTTCACGTCAGGCCAATATCAAACAGCTCAATTCCACTTCTCTTCCAGGAAGAAGGTTGAAAATCCAAGCAGCAAACACCAGGAGCCGCTTTTAATGAGGTGAGAGTTTGAAGAGCTTTTGGCAAAATAAGTCTGGAATTTGTTTAAGGCTTTGTGGTTTGAATAGGAGGGAGATTCTTCTTCTTTATTTGCTTCCTTGTTTCAGTTTCTTAACAGAATGTGGTTCTTTACATGAGACATCTGGAAGAGGAGGGGGATGGAGGAACACAAGGAAGGGGTTGATTTGCCTTTCAAACCACTCTGGTCCTAAAATTGCTCAGCTCCTGATCACTACCTGATGTAAGAGGTGTCCCTCAGTCTGTCAATGGATTCATTTCAACTCTATCTGTGTGTTATTTTTGGAGAACTTCCTTATTTTTCATGAATTCAAATGTATTTTCAAGGTTCTGCACCAGAAATTTGGCTGCAGAAAAATCACAGGATGATTTATCCCTTCCCATCTGATTTGACATTGACTTTGCTTTCTGCTCCCTAAGCTCGAGGAAAATAAAGCAATATACAGAATTATCTCTGAATCTGTAGGTTCTGCAGATTCCCTGGGTTCAGGATGTCAGGATCAGATGTTGCATCTCCTCCAGCTCTCTCTTCTCTCCATTAAATCCCTTTATTCTCTGTTCTCTCTGTTCTCCTTAAGCTCCCAGTTTTAAGAAGTCATCCCTCATCCACTGAGGGTAAAAACCACACATCCCATTTTTTCCATGAAGGCACAACCATTTTGACCTCCCTCCTAACAGAGAAGACTCTCAGAGAGTAATTTCTTGGGCTTTGACTTGGGAGGAAGCTCAAGGTGAGAGAGAGGAGCTGGGATGAACCCCAAAGCCTGCCCAAGTTTCCTCTCCGGGCTGGGAAAGGGCAAACACACATGGCAAGGGCTGGGATTTCTGTGACAAACAGTGTCTGGGAGCTGCAGGGAGGAGGGAAACCCTCTGCCTCAGTCATGTCTCGAGTTTCTGTGGTTTCGAGTTGCTCCACGTTTCCTCTGGGAATCCAAATCTCGTTAGTGCCTGAATGTGAGCTGCCACTGCGATGCATGTGCTCCTGGACACGCTGGGCTGCAGTTTAAGGCCCCTGCTCAGAAGCTGTGGGGCTGGCACAGCTTGGCCTGGGCGCCTGCCCCAGAACTGCCCCTGCAGTCCATCCACACAGTGCCTGGCTGGAATTCCTGCGCTGGCTCCGGGGGTGATTAAAGGATCTGTGTCAGCACAGCCCCCCGCACAGGGGAATCCCAAAGAGAAGCGCCTGGAGCAGAGGGTTTCAGCAGAACCGTTCCGAGGGGTGAGTCACACCTTCCCAGAAGGGTTCAGGGCAAGGTCAGACTTGTCGAGTGCAGGGAAAACAGGCTCAGTCTGCAGCTGGCTGACTGTAATCTCCATCAGCCCCTTTCGGCTCGTCTGATGGTGATCATCAACAGCCGTCAGTTTGCCGCGTTTCCTTTTTTTTCCTTTTTTTTTTTTTTTTAATAAATTCTCTTTTCTAACATTCATCATTTTTGTCAGCGTTAAAAGGCTTTAACCTTTTGACAGGTTCTGACCTGTTTTATTACTGCTCCTCCCTGCAGACGGAGGATCTCTGCCCTGAGATAAGAGCAGGGCTAAGAGAAAGGGAGAAATCTCTCTTTCGGTGGGGAAAGGGCTGAAGTACAGTGGGAACCGGGTGATTCATCCGAGCTCAGTTGGGAATCAAAGCTGCCCAGCCCTTACTGAGTGCTCTGACCACGAGACTCTTTCTTTGTGCCAGCTCTTCTTTGCTTGTGCCAGCTCTGCTCAGGAAATTCAGGCAGCCAAACATCATCTCTACTAACTGAAGATGTTTTAAGCATGGGTTCCTCTGCTAGCAATCCTGCTGATTGCCTAATAATAATAATAACCCCCCATATTTTCTCTGTGAAGTGTTTAAGAGTATTTTGACTTTGTTCAGGAGACACATGAAATACTCCCCTGCTTTATGGTGCTTTTAACTAAAGCTGCGTCAAAGCTCTTACATTAAAACGTAATTTAAAACCTAAAAATTAAAATCCCTGCTAGTGAATTATTTTAAAACAACCCCTCTATTAAAGCAGCGACGGTGGGAGGAACGCAGCCTCCCGGCACCACCTGGGGCGTTTTTAACCCGAATATTGTGTTCTCAGCAGCATCAGCGAAGGGGTGCGGTCGGGGGTAACCACGGGCTGGTGTCACGTTCGATGCAGCCGGAGAAAAGTGGGGAACTTCAACCACTTCATGGCGAGATTTTCTCACATCCAGCGCACGCAGGGACCGGGACAGGGGCTGGGGAAGGGCTGGGGACAAGGGACAGGGGCAGAAGAGGGAGTAGGGGCAGGGAGAGAGACAGGGACGGGGCAGGGGTAGGGACAGGGGCAGTGACAGGAGAGGGAGAAGAAGCAGAAGAGACCGGAGCAGAGACAGGGGCAAGGGGAGGGATAGGGGAGGGATAGGGACAGGGGAGGGACAGGAGCAGGGATAGAGACAGAGGAGGGAGAGGAGAGGGAGAAGAAGCAGGAGAAGGGACCGGAGCAGGGGCAGGGGTAGGGACAGAGACAGGATCAGTGACAGGAGAGGGAGAAGAAGCAGGAGAAGGCGAAGGACAGGGGCAGGGGTAGGGACAGGGGAGGGACAGGAGAGGGAGAAGAAGCAGGAGAAGGCGAAGGAGCAGAGACAGGGGCAGGAGAAGGTGAAGAACAGGGGCAGGGGTAGGGACAGAGACAGGAGAGGGAGAAGAAGCGGGAGAAGGCGAAGGATAGGGGCAGGGGTAAGGACAGGGGAGGGACAGGAGCAGGGATAGAGACAGAGGAGGGACAGGAGAGGGAGAAGAAGCGGGAGAAGGGACCGGGAGCAGAGACAGGGGCAGGAGAAGGTGAAGGACAAGGGCAGGGGGAGGGACAGGGACAGGAGAGGGAGAAGAAGCAGGAGAAGGCGAAGGACAGGGGGAGGGACAGGGGAGGGACAAGAGCAGACGCAGGAGAGGGATAAGGAGCAGGACAAGGGGCCAGGGCAGAGACAGGGGGCAAGTGCCGGAGCAGGGGCAGCCCTCGGGGGGGAGGCTGTAGCACATCCCCTTCCCCATCGCCGGATTCCCCCCGGGGGCCCCTCCCGAGCGGCTCAGGCGGGGCCAGGGCTGGCTCTGCCTTCTCGGGGGGCGGAGGAAGAGGAGAAGGAGGAGGAAGAGGAGAATGAGGAGGAGAAGGAGGAGGCGGACGGAGCCGCCTCACCGGGATATGGAGCGTGAGGCCCCGGCACGGAGCTGGGGGGGGCCAGGTAAGCCCGGCACGAGCTAAGCCCGCCAGCCGGGCCATGCCGGGCCGGGCGCCTCTGCGAGCCCTCCTGTTCTTCTTCCTCCTCATCCTCCTCCGGGGCTCGGCGGGCGCAGGTAGTTCCGGGGGGGTGGCGGGTGGGTGTGCAGGGGGATGCTCTGGAGCCCCTCAATCCCGGCGGAGGAACCGCGGGGGCAGCCCAGGGCACGGCCCCGCCCGTCCGGGAGCCGGGGCCTTGCCCCGGTGCCTCCCCGCTCGGCGGTTCTCCTCACCCGGCTTTCCGTGGGGGGCCGAGGAGCTCGATTCGTTCGCTGACAAAAATCCTATTAAAACCCCTCCCCAACCCAACAGATGTTTTTTGGCCGTTTAGCAAAACACTGATTTTTGATTTTTTTTTTTTTTTAGGCCGGTCCTCAGGATGCTAGGGCAGACGGGGGGTAAGCGTGGGAACGGCCCGGGAGCTGCTTTCACTCGGCTTTGCAGCGCTGCGGCTTCGCACGCCCGCCGTGTGAGAGCGTTGTTTGAATCGAGGTGGGAAGGGAAAAAAAAACAAAAAAAAAAAAACCAAAAAAACAACCAAACGCAATCTGAGCGTTGTTTTTGGCGGCTGCTCTGAAAAGAACCAGGTGTGGGGAAACCCTCCCTCCTTCAGGGCAGAAAGGAAGGGTTGGAGCGTTTGGGCCTTTCCCTGCCTGAGGTGGTTCGGGGTTTCTGGGCTACCTGGGGTTTGAAGTGTTTGTTGCTTTGGGTCGTGGAAAAAAACAGACGGTGAAGGAGCCGAGTGTGTGATTTCAGGCAGTAGTGTCACCGCCCTGGTTCGGGGTGCGAGATCTGACGGAAACGTTCCCTGGGTGTGTTGTGAAAGCAGCTCCTGGGTGAGCGGCGAGGGCCCCCCCCGGCACGAGGCATCCTCATGTTCAGCTGCAGAACCAGAGGTCTGATGACTTTTGTCGGTGGTTTTTTCACAGCTGGCGGGGGAAATGATGTGTTTCCAGACACTGATATAGGGCAAAATAGTCCGTGTGCAGACATGGGATCCCAGACTGAGCTGGGTGGGAAGGGACCTTAAAACCCACCCAGTGCCACCCCCTGCCATGGGCAGGGACACCTTCCACCGGCCCAGGTTGCTCCAAGCCCCGTCCAACCTGGCCTTGGGCACTTCCAGGGATCCAGGGGCAGCCACAGCTTCTCTGGGATTTCTATTCCAGGGCCTCCCCACCCTCCCAGCCAGGAATTCCTTCCCAATATCCCATGTAACCCTTGTCCTTCATTGGTCTTTTCTGTCTTGCTGCGTCTTGTGTTTCGTTCTCAGAGCTCTCTGGGATTTTGTAGCCTCGGTGTGTGTCATGTCTGAGAGCACAGATGACTGATGGTGTGAGATACCTCACCACATGCCAGACCAGCAGTGAGAGTGCAAGAGAGAATCTGTGTGGCTGAGAGGTGAAAACTTCTCATGAATGAAGGTTGCCTGAGGCCTTTAAAGTACCCAGGGTTGAACAGTGTAGGGAGCTGGAAGGAATCTCAAACAGGTTTGCAGTGCTGAATGAGGCAGTGGGGGCCTGGGGCCGTGTTTACTGAGAGCACTGCTCAGACTTGAGGAAGTTAGTGACAGACCTAATTAACCCTTTGAGAGAATCCCAGACTGGTTTGGGGTGGGAGAGACCTTAAAGCCCATCCAGTGCCACCCCTTGCCATGGGCAGGGACACCTTCCACCAGCCCAGGTTGCTCCAAGCCCCGTCCAACCTGGCCTTGGACACTTGCAGAAACGGGGCAGCCACAATTTTCTGGGAAAACAAGGGCTCAACTATTTTTTTGTACTTTGGACTTAGGGTTTAATGCAACTTGATGTAGAAATCAAAAAAACCCAAACTTTTAAACATTATCCCCATATTCCCAAAGAAGTCTTGATCTTGTGATCTTATTTATCTAAAAATAAATAAACTGTATCTTAGGAGACTACTGTCTCCAGAACACAAAATGAAATCTTCTGCTGTGGGATATCATTTCATGTCATGGTTGTCTTTGTCAGGCCAGGCTGGACAGGGCTTGGAGCAACCTGGGCTGGTGGAAGGTGTCCCTGCCCATGGCAGGGGTGGCACTGGGTGGGCTTTGAGGTCCCTCCCAACCCCAACCATTCCCTGGTTCTGTGATTCTCACGGTGTAAGGGGATCACTGCATAGACAAAAACAAGTCAAGTGCAGAAGGAAAATCTTCCTCCCTCCTGAGACAGCAGTGAAAGTGTTGCCCAGCAAGGCTGGTCCTTGGAGGTTCTGGGATACACCTGGAGAGAGCCCTTAGTAGCCAGGAGTGATGCTGGAGCTGGCCTTGTCCTTGTCTTCCTGTGTGTTTGGGTTCTCCAGGCTGCTGGTTCTCCCTGTTTGCCAGCTCCCCTCTCCCTCCAGCTGCTCCCCCCTTCTCCTCTGCCTTTCTTTGCTTCTGCTGCCCCCCATTCCCCAGCCCTTGGCTCTTTCCCCTTTGCTTGGCTGCTCTCCCTCCCTCCCCTGGGTTTATCTGTCCCTCCTCTGCACTGTGCCTGTCCTTTGGCCCTGCTCCAGCCTGGGCAGATCCCTCCTCCCCTGCAGGAAGTGGCTCCTCTGTTGTGGAGACACAACACCCTTCGCTCTTGGCTTCCCTGACGCCTCCTGAGCAGGTGCTGGAGTGTGACTGTGGTCTGTGCACACCCAGGAGTGTGACTGTGGTCTGTGCACACCCAGGAGTGTGACTGTGGTCTGTGCACACCCAGGAGTGTGACTGTGGTCTGTGCACACCCAGGAGTGTGACTGTGGTCTGGCACAGTTTGGGTGGGCACCCCCCCCAACAGCAGCCACACCTCGAGCAGAGGCCTCTGTCCTCTCCCACGTGGTGAATTGCGTTACAGAGTTGGCAGAACTTGAGGTTTGTGAGTGGGGCTGAAGGGGTTTTGTCTCCAGCTGTCCCCTGGAAGGTGTCACTGAGGTGACCTCAGTTAACAGGGGGCAGATGGTCAGGGAAGATGTTCTGGGTTGTGAGGACAGATGTGGGATGCAGGTAACTGGAATAGATGAGCTGCTGTAATGACCAGGGGTTGGGGGCCCTTGGGGAAGGGTTTAGAAAATGTGTCCTGGGAGGAGCAGCTGAGGGAGCTGGAGGGGTTTATCTGGAGAAGAGGAGGCTCAGGGGGGACCTCATTGCTCTCCCCAACTCCCTGACAGGAGGGGGCAGGGAGGGGGGTCGGGCTCTGCTGCCATGTCCAAGGGAAAGGAGGAGAGGGAATGGCCTCAAACTGCACCAGGGCAGGCTCAGATTGGAGATTAGAAACACTTTTTCCCTGTCAGAGTGGTCAGGCCTTGGAATAAGTGTCCCAGGGAGGTGGTGGAGTCCCTGTGTCTGGGAGTGTTCCAGAGGTGTCTGGATGTGGCCCTTGGGGACATGGATTGAGGGTGATCCTGATGGTGCTGGGGTGGGACTGGGAGATCCTGGAGGGCTCTCCCAGCCTTGATTCTGGGACCTTAATTTATGCCTTCATGGGCCTGGGTGGGGTTTGTTATTTTGTGCTGGACTTGGTACTTTGGTACTTTCAGCATTATGTTCTGCATGGAATGAATGAAAACAGGGAGTTCAAGTCATACAAACAGAGAATCCCAGGCTGGTTTGGCTTGGGAGGGACCTCAAAGCCCATCCAGTGCCACCCCCCTGCCATGGGCAGGGACACCTTCCACCAGCCCAGGCTGCTCCAAGCCCCGTCCAACCTGGCCTTGGACACTTCCAGGGATCCAGGGGCAGCCACAGCTTCTCTGGGCAACCTGGGCCAGGGCCTCCCCACTGAATTGTATCAGTGCCAGTGCAGCTGGAAACGAGGTGAGGAGGAGGAGGGGGAGGAGAAACGGTTTTGCCTGAGCAGCAGTGAAAATGTGGTGTATGGTGATAGTACTGCAGATGTGATACATGATGACAGCAGTGAAATTATGACACGTGGTGAGGGAATTTGGAGACCAAAATTTGGTCACTGTGCGCTTGAACATTTCAGTAACTATTTTTATTCCTCTTCTTGATTTAGAACCTTCTCCCCATTTACCGGCTCCAGAGGATGTGGAGATTTATTCCTATAACTTCCATAGTTTGCTGAGATGGTCTCCTGTTCCCGTGGAGAGAGGCTTGGTGTTATACACAGTCCACTATAAAACGTGAGTAAACAGTTCTAAAATAGCTCATTTTGTCCTAATTCAGTAACACAATTGGTTTTAGAAACCTGAAAAGTGTAAATATGAATAAGCACAGAAACGAGAGCATGTTTTTTATCCCGGATGCTTTTGTGTATCTCCAAAAGCAGCATCTGAGAGGCTGTGACATGTCCCCTGAGCTGAGGAAAGATTGGAGACGTGAAGAGCAGCCAGAAATGTTGGCCAGTTCCCTGCAGAATTTTAGTCTGATTCTCTCTGGTTAATTTTAATTTTCCCATTTCAGTTTGATTTCCCCCGGGGATTTGGAGGTGCTGAGGGCCCTGGGGTTGTGCCCGGGTGAGAGCCGTGGGTTTGTAGCGCGTTATCTCCTCACCAGAATGGTCTGGGTGGGAGGGGTTGTGTTTGGGTGCTTGCACTGTTCTGCCGTGTTTATCTGTGCTTTTCTGGCGAAGCAGAGGGGCCTTCCCTGTGTGGAACGAGATGAACTGTACCCGGATCCCCCGGACCCAGTGTGGGTTCCCCCTGGAGATCCAGAAGCGGCTCTGGACGATCTTCCTGCGCGTGAGGGCTGAGCTGGGGCAGCTCCCCTCGGCCTGGGTGCAGGCAGGGCCCTTTGTGGCTGAGAGGGACAGTAAGTGCTGCCTTTGCTGTCACTGGCTCTGCCTCTGTCTCTCTATCTCCAAGGAGATTTCTTTGAGAAAACTGTTCTGCATTTTCAGCTCTGTTGTGCAGAGTGAAGGTGAGAGGGTTGGAGGTGTTTGCCCACAAAGACAACGAGGTCTCGCCGGGATTTGACACTCCCTGGTTCTGCTGGGGTGGGTCAGGGCTGTCTCAGCAGGTGTCACGAGGGAAACATGGGTTTCCTGGGGTGGTTGAGCCTTCCCAGAGCCATAATGTTCTTTTGCTGAGGAGTTTTCCACTTTCTCATTTCCCCCCTGAGCACTGCCCACGTGAACCCCTTGGATTTGTGGCAGTCTGAGGCAAACCCACCTGCTTCTGCTGAACAGATCCCTGTCCTGATAAATACCAATGGTCTGATAAATGTAAATTGTCCTCATAAATATGAATAGTCCTGGCAGATATAAATTGTCCTGACTGCAGTGTGGAAGTGTCAGGGACACTTCTTAAATTATAGAATCCCAGACTGGTTTGGTTGAGAGGGACCTTAAAGCTCATCCAGTGCCACCCCCTGCCAAGGGCAGGGACACCTTCCACTAGACCCTGCCAGGGGTGATTTTGCTATTAGTAAGTACCACAGGCAGTACTTCATTTGTGTTTTTAATGATTTAGACCTCAAGAGTATTTCACAAAAGGAAATCGTCATGTTTACCCTGAAGGTCAGATGGAGACATCAAAGCAAGGAGGGGGAAAGCAGTTATTTCTCTTCCAATCTATTGACTCAAAGCACTGTGGTTTTTAGGGAACCTGGAATTTGTGGCAGGCTGATCAAAGGAAAAAAAATGGCCAGTAACTGCAGATGAACTTGGGTATTTTCTAGTTAATGTTTACTGAATTACCAGTTAGGTAAATATTGTAAATTTATTAAGTACATGAGGAAACGTTTTCCCTTTCTTGAGAAAAAGCTGTTGAAATTTATTATGTTTGCTGGGAGTGTCCAGGGAAGGGAACGGAGCTGGGAAGGGGCTGGAGCAGCAGGAGGGGCTGAGGGAGCTGGGGGGGCTCAGCCTGGAGAAAAGGAGGCTCAGGGGGGACCTTCTGGCTCTGCAACCCCCTGACAGGAGGGGGGAGCCGGGGGGGGGTCGGGCTCTGCTGCCAGGGAACAAGGGACAGGAGGAGAGGGAACGGCCTCCAGCTGTGCCAGGGGAGGCTCAGGTGGGACAGGAGGAGGAATTTCCTGCTGGAAAGGGTGGTGAGGCCTTGGCAGGGGCTGCCCAGGGAGGTTTGGAGTGCCCAGCCCTGGAGGTGTCCCAGGAAGGCCTGGCCGTGGCACTCAGTGCTCTGGGCTGGGGGACAAGGTGGGGATGGGGCACAGGGGGATCCATGGGCTGGGAGGGCTTTTCCAACCCCAGTGATTCTGTGGAGCTGGAGCCAGTCCATGAGCTGTTGTGCATCCCAGGGGTTCAGTGCTCTCTCTGTGTTTGTTCCCAGCCACTCTGGGCCCCCCCAGGGTGAGCAGAGTGAGTGCCAGCTCTGACTCGCTGCTCCTCAGTGTCACCCCCCCTTTCACGCCTGAGCCCGGGGACAGTTTCCAGTATCGTGTGTTCTACTGGGAGAACACAACAAGGACCACGAAAAAGGTGAGAATTCTCTTATTTCCTTTGTTCCTCGTGCCTTGGAGGCTGGGATGTGAGTCAGTGGCTCTTGGCAGAACAACAACTGGAGGAAGAAAACGACTGTATTTTGTCTGTACCCGTGAATGTCACCACGGGGAGTCCTGGGAGGTTAATTTGGCCTTGACACAAGTACTGCTGCATTGCCAAACTTAAAAACCCCTCTTCCTCTCCTCCATGTGGAACAAAGGCTAAACCCCATTGCAGATCAGGGTAGAGAATCTGTGCCAAAGGTGCCTTTTGATTCCAGGGTTTGCTTAGGGAATGTGGAAAACTGGAATCTCCTTCCTCCTTTCCTGTGCTGGGAGCTGCAGGAGCAGCTGCTGGGGCCTGATGTGCCTGTTCCCAGGGCAGAGAAGGTTGTTGGGAACGTGCTGGGATGAGCTGGGATGAGCTGGCCCTGTTCATCCTGAGACTTGGTGTTGGTCCTGTCCTGTGCTCCTGCTGCTGCCTGGGGCCTTGGGAATTGTGTTGTGCACAGGCCAGTGTTGCAGGGGAGGTATTAAGTTAAAAAAAAAAAGGAGGAAGAAGCTTCCAAATTACATAAATCTAAAGTCAAATATTTAAAAAACAGAAGCAGAAAAATATTAATTTATTTAAGAAAAATATTAACATTTAAAAAACCCTTTTGCTTCAGAGGCCTTAGTAAGTCACCTCCCTTTCCTTCCTGTCTTGCACCAAATGTGTGTTTTTCTGACACTCACACAATACCTTCATTTCAGAGGCAGGAAAGAACTGGGGAAGGCTCTACTCAGGGTTTAATTTTGCCCTGCCCCCCCTATATTTTGCTCTTTGCCTGAGCTGCTGCATCAAAACATCCAGGAAAGCTGGAATATATTTCACTGCCTCTCTTGTGTGGGAAAGCTGAGTGATGGGAAAAAAAAAATCTGGGTTTTTTGAATGGGAAACTTAAATGGGGGAGGGATATTTGTGTTGGGAACAAGGCTGGTTTTACAGTAACACCTTTTTTTTTTTTTTGTCTTTTAAACAGGAACAAGAGACACACAATACAGTATTCCAAATTGGAAAACTAAAGGAATCAACACTTTATTGCTTTAGCCTTCAATTTGAATTCGAGGGAGTCTATGGTGAACTGATAGGACAGCGAAGTGCCCCAGAGTGTCACAGAACTGCCATCAGTGGTATGTGGGGTTGGGGCATTTTTGTGTAGAGTGGGATGAGGTAGAACATGAGTCCTGGATCACCTGAGCTGGTCCCTTCCATACCCAGTTTGTTGGGAGTGCTGAGGGCACCACAGAGTTCACAGCTGTCATTGAGGGCAAAATAATCAGGAACCATCAGTCAATAATTAAGGGTCTGTGTTGGGCTCTTCCTTTTCCTTCATGAATCCTACTGGAATACGGGATAATGGAGTTTGGCCCCCTCTGGAATCTGAAGTTGATCCCAGGGCTGGAGCCCCTCTGCTCTGGAGCCAGGCTGGGAGAGCTGGGGGGGTTCCCCTGGAGAAGAGAAGGCTCCAGGGAGAGCTGAGAGCCCCTTGCAGGGCCTAAAGGGGCTCCAGGAGAGCTGGAGAGGGACTGGGGACAAGGGATGGAGGGACAGGACAAGGGGGAATGGCTTCCACTGCCAGAGGGCAGGGATAGATGGGATATTGGGAAGGAATTCCTGGCTGGGAGGGTGGGGAGGCCCTGGCCCAGGTTGGCCAGAGAAGCTGTGGCTGCCCCTGGATCCCTGGAAGTGTCCAAGGCCAGGTTGGACGGGGTTGGAGCAGCCTGGGCTGGTGGAAGGTGTCCCTGCCCATGGCAGGGGGTGGGATCAGATGATCCTTAAGGTCCCTCCCAACCCAAACCATTCCATGATTCCAGAAATATGAACCTGCCGTAGGTATATGGATTTTTTTTTCCTGCTTTTCCAGAGGCAACCAGGGCTGGATTCATCACCCTGCTGTGTCTCTCGGGGTTAGTCCTTATAAATCTGGCTACAGCTGGTTTGCTGCTCCTGTGGAAACACCGCAAGAAAATCAAACAGTCCTTTCAGCCACCTCTGAAAATCCCCTCACACTTCGAAGAGGTACGTGCAGAGGTTTTGTGTTTCTCCTGCAAAAGAGGGAAGAGGAACCAGGGCAGTTGTTGCCCAACAGGAATAAACAACTGTTGTCTCAGGGTGACTTGTCTGATGCTGATCTCCCACCTCATTCCTCTGTTACTGAGCTGGATGATATTTTACTGTGTGCTGAGACACAAACTCTGCTGGGCTTTCCTGTAAAACCCCGAGGATGACTCTGACCCGGGTTCCTGTTCCCCTTTTTTGGCTCGTCTCGGCCCTCAGGCCCCAAAATGGGGCTCTCTTGGAGCTTTTCCTCTGTTTCCTGTAGTGGGGGGTTGACCTTGGCTGGGCACCAGGTGCCCACCCAGCCGCTCTGTCCCTCCCCTTCCCAGCCCAACAAGGGAGAGATGAAGGTGGAAAACAACTCGTGGGTGGGGAGAAGGCAGTTTATTTAAAGCAAAAAGTAAAGCCAAGCTTGCATGCACAGAAGCCAGAGAGCAGGGTTGTTCTCTGCTCCCATGAGCAGCCGTGGGCAGCACTGCTGGGAAGCAGGGCCTGGGGACGTGGATGGATCCTCAGCAGGAGACACTGGAGACAGTGAATGCCCCCCTCCTGCTCCTGCCTCAGCTCTTACATCTGAGCTGAGCTCACGTGCTCTGGAATATGGAATCCAGCAGACCCCATCATCCCTTTCCTCCTCCTGGCCTCCAATCCTGTTCCTGCTCAGAGTATTCACTGGCTGACCCCTGCCAGGCCAGACCAGAGGTGCCCTCAGCAGGATCAGAGCAGCTGATTTCAGTCCTGTTACATCTGAGAGGTCACTGTTTTCTTTCTTGGGTCTCTGTGGCAACTCCCTGGGCAGCTTTCCTGGGTGACCCCTTCTGAACAGTTCCCTTCCCTCTTCATTCCTGTGCTGGGGCTTCCAGCTCAGAGGTGGGTTCCCCATCCCACTTCTTCATGGCTTCCCCCTGGTCACACAGAAAGAACCAGAGTTCACCACATGGCCCGAGCTCGGGGCTTCCTTTCCCTCTGCCCGGGGCAGGAGGGGACTGATCTCTTGGGCTGCCCCTGGGAAATGAGGTGCTGGCCTGTGGGAGTGAGGAGGTGCCCAGAGTTTCTTCTGCATCTCGAAGCCAGGAGGACAGCACCTACAGTTCCTGGATCCACCTTTGGGTGATACACTGGCACCAGGCTGTTAGAATGTGACACAGGGGCGCTTTGAACCGCCTTCCTCCACGTGGCCACCCTGCAAGGAACATCCTCTGGCTCTTTGGGGGTGTCATCCCTTCTTAGGTTACTGGAGATGGTTTCCAGCACTGCTGATTCTCTCAAGCACTGGATACTTTCATCTGCAGTGGCCCCACTTTCCTGGGGAGCTCCTTAGATCTTCCTTGAATGGATACCTTTCCCTCACGCTTGGGAGGAGCCATTTCCAAAGACTGCAAATTGTTCTCTGCTTTCCAATTCCTCTTTCAATTTGACTGTCTCTGGCCAGGGATCCCAGCTGGGCTTTGTGACCTTCCAGTAGTTGACCATCAGCCCCATTGTCCCAGCATGGAAGCAGCCAGGCAGGAATCTGCTCACCGGGCTGGCAGCTGGAATCTTTCTGCCAGTCCCAGAGTTCTGAGGAGGTCAGGGACGGGATAACCTCAGTTTGCTGTTGGATTTGTCTGACTTCCTTTGGTGAAGGACCAGCTTTCTTATCTGTCCCCTCCCCTCCTTCCACTCCTTCTCCTTCTTCCTCTTCCTGCCTTGCCAAACCCTGCTATGGCCCTGTCCCTTGCCTTATCCATTTCTCCCTTTTCACTGCTGGGGCAATGACTGGAGTTGTGGTTTGGGTCCCTGTCTCATCCCTGTGTCTCCATTGCAGTTTGGGTCCCTGTCTCATCCTGTGTCCCAGGGCAGTTTGGGTCCCTGTCTCATCCCTGTGTCCCAGGGCAGTTTGGGTCCCTGTCTCATCCCTGTGTCCCAGGGCAGTTTGGGTCCCTGTCTCATCCCTGTGTCCCAGGGCAGTTTTGACTTGATGATCTCAGAGGTACGTTCTAACCTGTCTGATTCTATGATTCTATGCAATATATGTATAAATATATCTAAAACTGTTACTATAACATGCAATATATGTATAAATATATCTAAAACTGTTACTACAGCATGCAATATATATATATAAATATATCTAAAACTGTTACTACAGCATGCAATATATATATATATAAATATATCTAAAACTGTTACTATAGCATGCAATATATATATAAATATAAATAAAACTGTTACTATAGCATGCAATATATATATATATAAATATATCTAAAACTGTTACTATAGCATGCAATATATATATATAAATATATCTAAAACTGTTACTATAGCATGCAATATATATATATAAATATATCTAAAACTGTTACTATAGCATGCAATATATATATATAAATATATCTAAAACTTACTATAGCATGCAGTATATATATATAAAAATATATCTAAAACTGTTACTATAGCATGCAATATATATATAAATATATCTAAAACTGTTACCATAGCATGCAATATATATATATAAATATAACTAAAACTGTTACTATAGCATGCAATATATATATATAAAAATATATCTAAAACTGTTACCATAGCATGCAATATATATATAAAACTATTACTATAGTAATATAAATATATCAGTGTATTATTAATATAGTAATAATTACCACATTGATTATAATATATTAATATATTGTTAATATAGTATATATTAATATGTAATTATATATTATATTATATATGGTTATATAGTATATTAATATTTTATTGCTATATTATTAATTATTACCATATAGTATTAGTACGGTAATATTACTATATTATAGTAATGGTGCTATAGTAATATCAATATATAACTATTACTATATATATATAACTATTACTATATACTATTTTAATACATTTACAAGGATCTTTTTACTATTTTAATAGACTCACATTAAAATAGTAAATGAATCCTTGTGCAGGGTATTTAAATAGCAAAAAATCCTTCTAAGTGTATTAAAATGGTAAAAAAAATAATTGTACAGGGTATTAAAATACTAAAAAAAGCCTTGTAAGTGCAATAAAACAGTAACAATATCCCTGTACAGGATATTAAATAACAAAAATATCTTTGTGCAAGGTATTTAAACAGTAAAAAAATCCTTGTTCACTGTATTAAATAGTAACAAATCCTTGCACAATGATTTCAAATAGTGAAAAAATCCCTTGTACAAGGTATTAAGACAGTAAATAAAATCCTTGTAAGTGTCAGAAATGAGTCAAACTCCCCTTGTGAAGGGTGTTAAAATAGTAAATAAAATCTTTGTGCATTAAAATAGTAAAAAAATTCTTGTACAGGGTATTAAAATAGTAAAAGATCCTTTTAAGTGTATTAAAGTAATAAAAAAACCCCTTGTAAGTGTATTAAAATAGTAAATAAAATCCTTGTAAGTGTATTAAAATGTTAAAAAAATCCTTGTACAGGGTATTAAAATAGTAAAAATACCCTTGTGCAGGGTGTTAAAATAGGAAATAAAATCTTTGTGTGTTAAAATAGTAAAAAAGTCCTTGTGCAGGGTATTAAAATAATAAAAAATCCTTGCATGGGATATTAAAAGAGTGAAAAAAAATCTTTGTACAGGGTATCAAAATAGTAAAAAAAATCCTTCTAAGTGTATTAGAATAGTAAAAAATCCTTGTAAGTATATTAAAATAGTAAAAAATCCTTATACAGGATATTAAAATAGTAAAAAATAGTAAAAAAATCCTTTTAAGTGTATTAAAATAGTGAACAAATCTTTGTATAGGGTATTAAAATAAAAAAAAATTCTGTAGAGGGTAATAGAATAGTAAAAAGATCCTTTAAAGTATTAAAATAGTAAAAATATCCTTGTATAGGGTATTAAAATAGTAAAAAAATCCTTGTAAGTGTAATAAAAAGTACAAATATCCTTGTGCAGGGTATTAAATAGTGAAAAAAATCCTTGACCAATATATTAAAATAGTAAAGAGAATCCTTGTAAGTGTATTTAAATAGTAAATAAAGTCCATGTAAGTGTATTAGAATGGTAAAAAAATAATTGTACAGGATATTAAAACAGTAAAAAACCAAAATGTGCAGGATGTTAAAATAGTAAAAAAAAAAATCCCTGTATATGTATCAAATAGTCTCCTGGTACATGTTATGAATAGAGTAAAAAAATCCTTGTAAGTGTATTCAAACAGGAAATCAAATCCTTGTAAGTGTATTGAAATAGGAAATCAAATCCTTGTACAATGTATTGAAATAGGAAATCAAATCCTTGTAAGTGTATTGAAATAGGAAATCAAATCCTTGTACAGTGTATTGAAATAGGAAATCAAATCCTTGTACAATATATTGAAATAGGAAATCAAATCCTTGTACAGTGTATTGAAACAGGAAATCAAATCCTTGTACAATGTATTGAAATAGGAAATCAAATCCTTGTACAATGTATTGAAATAGGAAATCAAATCCTTGTAAGTGTATTAAACACAGGAAGCCAATCCTTGTAAGTGTATTGAGATAGGAAAATCAATCCTTGTACAATAATTGAAATAGGAAATCAATCCTTGTACAGTGGTATTGAATAGGAAATCAATCCTTGTACAATGTATGGAAATAAGGAAAATCAAATCCTTGGAAGTGTATTGAAAAGAAATCAAATACTGGTACAGGTATTGAAATAGGAAAACAAATCCTTGTACAGTGTATTGAAATAGGAAATCAAATACTTGTACAATGTATTGAAATAGGAAATCAAATCCTTGTAAGTGTATTAAACAGTAAAATATCCCTGTGCAGGGTATTAAAATAGCGGGGGGGGAAGAAATGAAGGCAGATAAGGCACTGGGCTGAACTTTCAGAACGTGTGTTTCCAACAGGCCTCTCCTGAAGCCCGGGGGTACCAAATTCCCGGGAATTCCAGGCAGTCCCGGGGGAGCTCCTGCAGGTTCCAGGAACATCCCGGGATTCCTTCTTTCCCAGCAGGATCTGGGCTCTCAGGGCCCGAGTTACAGGGAGCCCAGAAGCCAAGCTGGGCTTCATTTCTGTCTGGAATTGGCTGAAATGGAGGTTTTGGGGGGGTTTTTTGTTTTTAACACACCTGGAAAAATCATCCCGTTGTTCCTCAGCCCTGCTGGGAGTGCAGAGAAGGTGGAGCTCCATCGAAATCCATGTTCATTTTCATTATTATCTTTTATTGGATTATTATCTTTTGTTTGATTACTAGCCCTGGGAAGCCTAATGTGGGAGGGAAGGGGAGCAGGGAGGAGTGGAAGCAGGAGAGGGAAGTGCCCAGGGATTTGTGGGGACAGGAGAAGGTGCAGCTCTGCCTGACCTGGATCAAACCAGGGCCTTGGAGCTCATTTCTCCATCAGGCACTCGCTGGGTTCCTGCAGCTGGAGGTTCTTAACTCGGAGGGATTGAACCAACATGAAAAGACTGGCCAAATTTTATTAAAAAAGCCCCCAAAACACCCAGCCAGGACCTGCAGCTGCTTTAACTCACTCGAAGGGATGTTTGGGTGATTGGTTTTATTTTCCTCCCCCACAGAAATAAGGTATTTTTAACTCGTTCAGTGCAGTTTAAGGAATTCCAGGATGGAACATTCCTGTAGCTGTGGATTCTGGCATGAAGCAACTTGTTGCCTCTGGAATTTCTTACACATGGACAGGGATCTGACCTGTTGTTTTCCGGATTTTTGCAGTTCCTCAGGGACCCTGGCATGCCTGGCTTGGAGGAGCTGGACAATTCCCCGGAGGATGAGCCCCAGGCTCTTGTGGCTGGAGAAGGAATCCAAGCCTGGAGCAGCAGCCCAGGGTGACAACTCTTCATCCACCACCCCCAGGGACAGGGAAACACAGACGAGCCACCCACTGAGTGTCCCCTGGCCCAGGGTTTCCAGCAGCTGCTCCCGGGGCGTGGCTGCTGCCGGGACAATCCTGAGCAAAATATGGACCCTGGGATGTGTCTCAGGGGCTTCTCCTGAGCTCCCCCAGCACCTCGTTCTGCCAAGGACACTGGAAAGGGGGAACACGGAAGGGAAACGAACACTAAACGCAGAAAATGGTTAAATTCCCACCCCAGGTTGGAATAAAGCTTTGAGGAATTGCAGCACTTTACAGGAGGGTGTAGGAGAACATAGGATTTTTCAGGGAGTGAATCACTGCAATGTAAATTCCTTTTATAGCTGATTTTCTTTTGTTGGCAATAATACTCTTGTTATATCCACCCCACTCTGCTTCTCTGAATCATTTTCAGCACATGGCAAACTAAAAAGAAATGTGTTAGTCCTTTCCTCTCCCCAGGATGAAGCTGTGCCACAAACTCCTCCCAGGGAGGCCTCCTCCCATCTGCTTCCTCACAGCCACACCAGTGCCCTGCACAGCCAAACAGACCTGAAAATAACATTTAAACCCTGTATCAGTCATTATCAGACACTAAAACCTCCTGTTCACCACCAGCAAAGGGAAAGTTGGCTGAGAGATGTTTTGAGTGCCCTAAAGCAGAAGAGCCCACATTCAGCCTCCTCTGGGGTCTGGAAGGTGTCCAATAAAGCACAAAGAACAAGTGAACCACTTCTGCACTAAAAAGATGGGGTTTAATTGATGATTTTTCCTGGGTTTGATACAAATTGTGTAAAAGAAAGGAAAGAAAGGGGCTTGTCTGTTTGCAGATGACTCACGGGAGTGGGCTGGGCCCTGTCAGAGCTGGGGGTGACTGAGGTGAGGCCCTTCCAGCCTTTCCAGGGACACTCCAGGCCAGCAGAGGCCAAAAGCTAAATGAGGTTAGTTTGCCTTGTAGAACTAATCTAATCCCCTGGGATTAGGCAACCTGCTGGCACAAGGCAGTTCTGTGAGGGCTGAGTCAAGTTTCATGGCTGGAGGAATTGTTTGGGCTGCAGAATATCTGCTTTGAACCACCCCCTTCTCTGGGCTGGGCTGGGCACAGATGGGGAACCACAGCTCACAGCAGCAACCACCTCATGCACAACAGAGGGCACAACTGGTAAAACATCTCCTGGGAATATACATATATATATATATTCCTGAATAAACCCTACACCAGCCTTCTGTCAGGGAAGGGTCTGTCAAGGATCCGAGTCATTAAATATTGTTACACAAACAGGCCCTCTTTGACACAAATAGGCCAAAGTTAAAAACCATTTGCTCGGGGTACAGAAGACACAGAATCCCACACTGGTTGGGATTGGGAGGGACCTTAAAGCCCTTAGTGCCACCCCTGCCATGGGCAGGGACACCTTCCACCAGCCCAGGTTGCTCCAAGCCCCGTCCAACCTGGCCTTGGGCACTTGCAGGGATCCAGGGGCAGCCACAGCTTCTCTGGCCAACCTGGGCCAGGGCCTGCCCACCCTCCCAGCCAGGAATTCCTTCCCAATATCCCATCTAACCCTGCCTTCCCTTCCCCAGGTGAACACCTCCAGCTCTCCCAGCCTGTCTTGCCTTGTTGAAGTTCCAGTTTCAGGTACAAGATGCAGTCACTGGGATTAGTTTCAGGCCACACTCATTTCTCACCTTGTAAAAACCCAACAAACATTCCCAAGCTCCTGTACGAGGAACCCAAGAAAGCTGCAAACCAAAGCCTGGTTGTGCTTCCTCCCTGGTGTAAACCTTGTGTACAGGCCAGTCCTCCTGGGGCTCCTGCACATCAGCTGTGAACCCACAGGAGGGAGAAGACAAGCTCACCTTTCCTGCAGTTTTCTGGCATTACAACCACCAGCCACGTCCTGCCCAGGCTGTGAGTGACCCCAGTGACCCCCTCGTGTCCCTCCAGGGTTTGCTGCAGGTCCTGGCAGCTGGGGAGATTCCCACAGGGAGCAGGTGGATCCCTGGCAGTTCCACACACCAAGCACAGAACTTAACACTCAGCAGTTTGGTACCACTGGGGCAGAACTTGGTACAGGGAGACAAAAAGCTTTGAGACACAAGGGAGAGTCAAATGCCTTAAAACCCACAGAGAACTCGTGAGAGAAGGAGTCACCAAGAGCAAATAAATATACAAGATCAGCCCAAGGCTATAAAACATCCTCTTCCTCCCTTCTGTGCACTCCAGACAGAAGAAACTGGATTTCAAATCATGGAAACGTGAGATAAGCACATTTTAACTGGGGCAAAGGGCAGCCCCAAAGCTGGCACATTTTAACTGGGGCAAAGGACAGCCCCAAAGCTGGCAATCATTTCAAGGTCAGACCGTGAACAACAAATAAATCCATGCCCCCATTCACCTTTCAGGTGAATTCATTCAGCTGAACATTCACCTTTTAGGTACAGAAGGGGAAAAGTGCAGGAAAACTGTTCATTTATGAGCAAAAAGCTTCCCCTGGAGAAAACAACACCTGTGTGATTTCACAGAATCATAGAACCATTTGAAAGATGTTGGTCTGACTCTCAGTTGTTCTTTATATTCCTGAAGTAGGACTGGCAGCAGTTTGTTGGAGTTTTTTATTCTAATATCAGGAAATACATTAAATACCAATTGGTATCTCTTACACTGAGCAGCATGAAATTAATTCCAAGGACTGTGGTGCCAGCAAATGTCCTTTGTGCCAGAGCCATCACAGGTCAGGAGGAGTTTGATTGCCATGCAGAACCTGCCGAGTGTAGGGACTTGCTTAAAAACCGTAACCTTTTACAAAAAAACAAACAAAAAAGAAAGCTACTTTATATTCACCTGAACAATAATATAAAATCTTAAAATCAGCTCTTATCCCAGCACAGCCCCTGCTCCAGGGATGGGCCTGGTCCTGTTCCAGGGATGGGCTTTGTCCTGTTTGCTCACTGACAGTTCACTGAAGCCTCAGACACGGGGGGAGGTTTGGAGGATGAAATGGTGGAAAGCCTTGGGGTGGAAGGAAGAAGGCTGAAGATTGCAGCAGGAAGGCCTGGCAGGCTGCCATTCCCTTGGGAAGAGATCCAGTCCTATGTACATATTCACAAGTGTGTCCTGGGAGAAGAGGAGCTTCTTACAGAGCCTGGGATTTGTCTCAGTCCAGGGTTTGGAAAGCAAACCAAGAACAAAGAACTGTAAATTATCTACATACAGAGAACCACGTGGTAACTATGGACCAGCCCAGGGGGAGCTCAGCCCCACAGCTCTTCTGTCCTTCCAAACTTGTAGATCAGAGTACTGAGGGGGAAAAAACAAAGGGAATAAAAATCAGACCATACATAAGGTAGCTTTAACAGTGTTCTTGACTCTCATCCTGTAAATCAACAGCCCTGAATTTGCATTCCAGCCAGTGGCTCTATTTTGTTTCCCGTGCATGGCTGAAGCTTTGGGAGCCAGCTGAAGCTCAAACAAAAAATAACCAGTTTCCCAGCCCTTCTGAAGGGAAAAACTGGTATTTATGGGATTCTAGGGGATTTAGGAAGTGCTGTTTCCTGCAGGAGCATCCCTAATTTCCCAGCCAGGGCACTGCTCCAGAGCCCACTGATCTCATTCCCTGCAAAGCATTTGATGTGGGACTGGAAGGAAAAGGGTCAGCACAGGAATTTAAAAAAAGGAGGTGAGGTGAAATTTTTCAGTGACTGATCTTGGAACTGACACTATTTAATGCTTTCAAGTGTCTTTTATTAATGAGATCCCTGGATTGCAGAATCCATTCTACATCTAAAGAGTTATTACAGATACCAACTCAGTTCAAAGTGTTATATGAGAAACCCAACAATATGAGCTGAAATAAACCCAGTGTGCTGTTACAAAACACAGCAGCACGCTCTCAGAAAATGGAATTATCACTCTTTATAACTGCAAGCTCAGCCACTGGAAGGAAATACAGGTAATATCAACTCTCAGATAATTGAGCCATCGGTGTGAAATAGTCTGGAAAGGGGCAATTGAATCTCCCACCTGGTTCTGCTGGGACAGATGCCAAGGTATTTGTAGCACAGAGCTAAAAGCATCATTGCCAGGATCCACAGACACTGGCAATATCTCAGCCAGAACACTGGCTGGATCCACACCCCAGAGCTGTAAATTCAGGGAGAGCAGAGAGAGCTGCACTAACAGGAGCCTGAGGGGAAGCAAGAGCCTCTCATGGGCTGGGAAGGGGCAAATCAAACCTTGTTTTTAAGCTCTGGGGCAAAGGGAGTAGGGAAAAGAACCCTTTTTCCAGGAGTCTCAATGTATGGAGGCAGGTGAGTCCCTCTGGAAGGAGGGAAGTTTGCCCAGGTAACTTACCTGAAAAATATTAATGCATTTTGGAAAAACACTGCTAAGCCAGGGTACACATTAGTGTCTGCAAAGGAAGGAACAAAGGGAAACCATTGAGTCCTTCAGCACTGGGAGGGGTGTCCAGCACACAGCTCAGGGTCTCTGACTCAAACCCGGCTGCTGTGGCTTGGATCTTGTCAGACACCACACACACCTCCACCCTTTGGGACCTCCTGCCAAAAGCTGGCAGGAAAAGCACTTTTCTAGAGGTGAACAGAACCCAACTCACTCTGTGTGACATATGCTCCAAAGAGAATCCACATGGAAGCAATGAGGGATCCAAACATCAGCATGAAGCCGATGAAGAGCCAGATCCGAGCACCTGCAGGGAAGATCAAAACCTCTGAGAACATGGGGGTTGTTATCCATGTTATCCATGGGGACAGGCAATCCAGCTGCTCTGGGGTGATGGTTAAACCCTGGATCAGGGACAAAACAACCCAGCTGCTCGCTCACGGGAAAGGAAAAATATTCTCTTTTTCTCTTGAGGCGGTTCATGAATGACACACAAAAAAGCATCACAGGCCACTTCAACCATCAGTAAATCCCACCAGATTTCCACTGAGGCATTTACAAATCCCATGGAAAAGGCTGCTGGGATCCACATGGGGAATAGGACAGGAATTCTGAAGGGAAGCAGAGGGGACAGCAGGCCCATGGACACCACACAGGGGCTGACACAGAGGGAGTGGGATGTCTGGGACACATTCCCAAGGAATGTCTGCTCCAGAGCCCACCCCAGGACAGGGATTTAGTTCTCCCAGCAGCCACCCAGGATTTGCAGAGGAAAGTTTAAGAAGCCAAGATATCCAGCAGTTGAATTTTTCTAAGTTCACCTTTTTAATAAAGACAAGGGTTGATTCTGTAAAGAAATTAATTCACAGAATTCTCTCCTACTCCTTGTCTTCACATTATTTCTTTCACCACAAGTTGGAAAAAACCCCAACACAGAAATAACCAGTCCTTCAACTCAGTGGGACTTTTAGAGTTAATTTACCTGTTCTTCCTAAGCATCCATCACTGTAGCTGTCTCCTCTCACCTGTGCATTGGATACAGCATTTATCCTAGGAACAAAAACAGCAGATACAATTCAGATTATTAGAAAAATCAGTTTAAAGTTATAAGTTACAAATTCTGGAAAAAAGTTCCTTGGCATTCTGTACAGTCACAAACTCAAATTCCTCCTTTTTTCTTGCCAATATTGGGTGATTCAATAAAAGTTGTTACTTCTCTTTCAAGCTTCCAGATTTACATCTCCATGACAAGAGCCAGACCATCACCTCTCCCATTTGAGGAAGTTTTGGGCAAGGAACAGGAGAAAAAATTGTTTCAAAACAGGGGGGGAAATGCAGTCAAATGTTTTATATTGAGGTATTGAGTTAAGTATTGGACTCCCCATCCCTGGAAGTGTCCAAGGCCAGGTTGGACGGGGCTTGGAGCAACCTGGGCTGGTGGAAGGTGTCCCTGCCCATGGCAGGGGTGGCACTGGAGGGGCTTTGAGGTCCCTCCCAACCCAAACATCTCCATGATCCTATGATTTGTCCACACTGGACACTTGTCCTGTAACACCTGGGCTGGACAGCTCGAGTTGAGTTGCTCAGAACCCCCCCGCCCCACTCACATGAAGAAGGCCAGCGTGGAGAAGACCCCACAGGTGTGGAAGGCGTGGTTCAGCTGCTCCGGCTTGGGATAAACCACGGCGGCGTCGATCATGATCCACCAGCCTGTGAAAAACTGGGAGCAAACACAGCCCCGTGAGCAACCTGGCAGGGCACAGGGGCAGAGGGAGAAACCAGGGCCAGGCTTCAGGGACAGCACTGGGTTGATTGGGTTTTAACGAGCACAAACTCTCCTGGAAAGACAGAGTTGGACTCTAAAAGTGCTTGATGGACAAGTCCTGCACAAACCTCAATGTTCCCAGTTTTGGAGGAGTGTTTGGGAATTGGTCACATTTCTAATCAAATTAAATATCAGGGTATGGATAACTTTATGCCCAGAGAAGTTGTGGCTGCCCCTGGATCCCTGGAAGTGTCCAAGGCCAGGTTGGACGGGGCTTGGAGCACCCTGGGCTGGTGGAAGGTGTCCCTGCCCATGGCAGGGGTGGCACTGGATGGGCTTTGAGGTCCCTCCTGACCCAAACCTTCCCTGATTCTATGAACTTCCCTGTGCAGCCTTAGGAAGGAGAATCCTCTAACCACAGATGAGGTACAGATGATGCAGAACAGAGGTGTTCTAACTGATCTAATTATGCAGAAAATCCAGGAGGAATGTTTTTAAAGGGGGGCAGAAATGGTTCATCATCAGCAACGTCACAGGACTCATAAAAACACTGCTGACAATCCCACAAGACTTTAAGGAATCACAGAATGGCACCTCAGAGAATCCCACAACATGCTGGGCTGGAAGGGACCCACCAGGATCATCCAGTCCAACTCCTGGCCCTGCACAGGCCCATCCCCAAGAGTCACCCCCTGTGCCCCAGAGGATCAGCCAAACCCTCTTGGAGCTCTGGCAGCCTTGGGGCCATGCCCACTGCCCTGGGGAGCCTGGGCAGTGCCCAACCAGCCTCTGGGGGAAGAACCTTTTGCTGAGATCCAACCTGGCCCTGCCCTGTCCCAGCTCCAGCCCTTCCCTGGGTGCTGCCCCTGGTCCCCCCAGAGCAGAGCTCAGTCCCTGCCCCTGCCCAGGCAGTTGTACCTGCAGTGAGGTCTCCCCTCAGCCTCCTCTGCTCCAGCTGAACACACCCCGTGCCCTCAGTGCCCTCCCACGGCTCCAAACCAGGGCCCTTCCCCACCTCCGCGGACGCTCTCGAGGGGCAGCTCAGGGGGAGCCTCCCCAAAGGTGAAGCCAAACTGCAGCTCCCCGTGGTGCTGCCCCAGGTGCCCCCAGCCCCGTGGCAGCCCCGTGGCAGCCCCGTGGCAGCCCCGTGGCAGCCCCAGCTCACCAGCACCCCGGCCACGATGGAGGCCACGGCGTTCCTGCGCTCGCTCCAGTCGATGCACTCGCACTCCGGCCAGCGGAAGTTGTCCAGGAACCCCGCCATGGCCTCCCAGCTCACACTGCCCGGCTGCTCTGGGACCTGCACATCAATCTTGCCATGAACAGCCGTGGCCCAGGCACCTGGAAGGCAGCCAAACATAAATCAGTAGCATCTGGAGGTGGACAACTCTCCTGAGCGGGTTTTACAGTCTTTTACAGGGTTGAGTATTTCACACAGAACCTTCCAGTGGAAGGTTCCCTGACCATGGGTTCAGATGATTTTAAGGTCCCCCCCAACCCAAACCATTCCATGATTCCATGATAAACTCTATGGATGCTTTACTGAGATATTTTTTAAAAACAACCCACCTCCAACAGAATTACAAAAGAAAATCATCACACGACCCAAAAACTTTAAGACTTAAAGTCAAGGATTCTGGATTAGACACCAACGTTTCCAGTCTCCAAATTAGCAGATAATACAATACAGTGCCTTTCTAACACAGGGAAAAAAGAAACCAACTCAGCAAATCAACTGATACCAAGGGCAAGGAAGGTCTTGCTGCAGAGAGAGAAGGTCACAGAGAACTTTAAATATGGGAAGAGGAAAGCAAAGTTAATTAACTGATTCACAGCTACTTCAGCACTATTCTATTTGGGTTTAGTATTGCCAACCTCCATAATTCATTTCCAGCCACTTGTTAAAGACTAACAACAAATGTCCTTCAGGATTATGTTACAGCACAGACTGATGGCGACCATATTTCTGGCTAATGTCAACAATCAGAAATTCTACACTAAGAAGAGGAATAAAAATGAATAAATAAAGAGTTTGACTACATTACAAACACAGGTCACCTCCTGTGAATAAGATCAAAACGTCTGTCCTCCTGTACCCAGCTCCAGAAAGCCACAGTTGTGATGTTACTTTAAACACCAAAACCACTCACTCGATTCCAACGCTATTTTTCGTTCGTGCAGTATCTGGGCTCAACCATCTGGCCCTTCCCTGTTTTCAAATAGCTCCATCTGGGCTCTGTTTGTCCCTCCTCAGAGCATGGATGTGTCTGTGCCCTTCCCCTCATCCAGGCTGGATGACTTAGGAAAGAACTCTTCTCACTGGGACAGAATGGCTCCAACTCCAAAGACACTGAACTACATAAAAACAGCCCTTCCCTTCTGTGATTTAAAGGAGACATTGTTTGTTTTGGCAACTACAAGGGATATAATGTTGATATAATTAAGCCAACTTCCAATCCACAGAGTGACTCACGTTTATCCCAGTAAAGCCCTTCCCACTGTGCACAGTCAGTGCTGAGCAATGTTCTGGGGACACCACACTGTGCACAGCCCCTGCCCTGGTCACTGAGGGCTTCCTGAACATCCCTGACAAACACCACACTGTGCACAGCCCCTGCCCTGGTCACTGAGGGCTTCCTGAACATCCCTGACAAACACCACACTGTGCACAGCCCCTGCCCTGATCACTGAGGGCTTCCTGAACACCACTGACAAACATCACACTGTGCACAGCCCCTGCCCTGGTCACTGAGGGCTTCCTGAACATCCCTGACAAAGCAGGGGCATTTTGCTCACTTCAGAACCTGAGACAAAACTACAGGCGTGGAATATGGATCCATATGGATCATGGAAGGGACCTCAAAGCCCATCCAGTGCCAACCCTGCCATGGGCAGGGACACCTTCCACCAGCCCAGGTTGCTCCAAGCCCCGTCCAACCTGGCCTTGGACACTTCCAGGGATCCAGGGGCAGCCACAGCTTCTCTGGGCAACCTGGGCCAGGGCCTCCCCACCCTCCAGCCAGGAATTCCTTCCCAATATCCCATCTAACCCTGCCCTCTGGCACTGGGAAGCCATTCCCATTGTCCTGTCCCTCCATCCCTTGTCCCCAGTCCCTCTCCAGCTCTCCTGGAGCCCCTTTATGCAGCCACACAGCTCTGGCTGCCCCTGGATCCCTGGAAGTGTCCAAGGCCAGGGTGGACAGGGTTTGGAGCACCCTGGGCTGGTGGAAGGTGTCCCTGCCCATGGCAGGGGTGGAATTGGACTTTAAGGTCCCTCCCAACCCAAACCATTCCATGATCCACATCTGTAGTTCCCAACACCCCCAGAAACAAAAGAAGAAAATAATAATAATCTGTATTTCACCGTGAAAAACCAGCTGAGGCTCCACCAGGAGCACAGGACCAGGCTGAAGTTTGTCCCCACACAGATTAACACGGACAGAGGGACAGGTTTTAGCCCAATTCCATCCTGCTCCACAAACAGACACCTCTGGTGGAGGCAGATCCTTTCAGCTGGAATTTCTTACCTCGATAAAGGTACAAAACTCGCTCTCTGCCTTCAGCTTCCACCCACCCACTTCACAGGAGGAAACAGGCAAAGCCCTTGGCATCCACTGCCCTCCAATGCCCTTCCCACAATCGGCCTCCTCCCCTTTTCCAAGGACAGACAGGTTCTCCCACTGCTCCTGGAGACATTCCTCACTCATGGCCAACGAACAAAATCGCATTTGCAAGAGCAAACTGCAGACACTGAACAGGCTGAGCACAACTGGAGCTGTAAAAACCAGCCTTGGCAGGTGGCAGAACTCAGGGTGAACCCACCTGTGTGTTATTCAGGCAGAAAACACAACGGCAGCTCAATATTTTCACCTGAAAAATCAGCTTTTCTCTCCCAAAATGAACTGATTTCACTTCAATAAAATATTAAAAGCAGCTGCAAGGAAATACAAAAAGTCTGCACAAAGAAAACTGGAATATCATCAGGTTAGGAAAGAATAGAACCTCCTGTTCCCAAAGGAAAAAAAAAAGATACAAAGGAGGAAGAGAAGAAACTACACCTCAAGAAGAAAACTCAAGTTTTCCATGAAGAAGATGCATCTTCCACAAGCAACTCATCAGAATATGCTTTAGCCCAAATGCACAGATGATGAAAAGTAATTCAGGAGCTTCTATGAACATTTCTATGCAGTCCACTGTGTTTTTTCCACTTATTTCAGTAATCCCCTGCAGTTTCACTTTCAGTTCTCCCCATCCCACAGCACTGGGCTCTGCTAATTTTTAAGTATTACAGAAAGACAGAAGGAGGAAAGAAAGGAACTTAGACAAAAACAAGGGTGTGTGGCAAAATTATTAAAAAGTGATGGTATTTATATTTACATTCTTTGTGATGCCCCATCCCTGGGAGTGCCCAAGGCCAGGCTGGACGGGGCTTGGAGCACCCTGGGCTGGTGGAAGGTGTCCCTGCCCATGGCAGGGGTGGCACTGGAGGGGCTTTGGGGTCCCTCCCAGCCCAAACCATTCCATGATTTATCCCTTTACAGGAATGTGATGCTCAGCCCCGGAGCAAAGCGAGGGCTCTTTAAGAGCGCTATTAAAGTTTGAAGACTTGAGAGAGGCAGGAGAAGAAAAAAAGAAACCCAGATCAATCCTGCGGTTCCCCAGCGGCCAATTCGGGCTGTAAATCCGCACCTGGGGCAGCGACATTCCCGCGACGGGGCGGGACGAGGCGGGACCCCGAACCGCAGCCAAAGCCCTGCCGGGAACGGTAACGCTCGAAATAAACTGCCATTTAGACACAGTAAGCCTCTTTTTTCCCCTTCAAATCTCACCCGCAGAGCCCAAAATCCGCGCGCGGCACCGGCGGCGCCTCCCCGGGCGAGGTCAGGCGGTGACACACCTGGACGTGCCGGGGCCGGCCCGGAGCGCCCTCGCGGACCCGCTCCTTTCTCTCTCTCCCGCTCCCGCTCCCATTCCCATTCCCAATCCCGCTCCCGTTCCCAATCCCGCTCCCAACCCCGCTCCCGCTCCCCCTCGCCCCGGCCCCCCGTACCCGCTCCTGGGCGCGACTCTTCCGCCCGCGGCCGCTGAGCCCTGTGAGTGACGCGCCCGCCCGCCAATCAGAAGCGAGCGCCGCGCGTCAGCCGGGGCTGGGTGAGAACGGAGCGCCGCGATTGGTCAATGCGGCGGTGAGCCCCGCCCCTCTCCTCCGGGGGCGGGGTGGGAAGGGGCGGGCCCGGCGCGGTCTCGCCTTTCCCCTCAGGCCCCGCCCCCTTCCCCGTCATGGCCGCCCCCCCTCACAGCCCCTCAGGGCCCACAGACCTCCCACACGGCCCCAAATAACCCCCGCCCTCCTCCACGCCCCAAAAAGCGCCAACATTAATATTTTCGAGCAGTTCCCGTGTCGGAATAGATAAAACTTCACCCCCAAAATGCCGTTGCGCCTCAGCCCCGTGACTGCTTTAATAAAAGCAAACGGAATTAATGAGCAGTTCGTAGGATTAAAGAATCGTGGAATGGTTTGGGTTGGGAGGGACAGGCAAAAGGGGAGTCACAAAAACATCAATAAACTAGCCGAGGAACATATTCCATCTAAACCCACGAAACAAATACGTGACAGCAAACGGATGTTGAATAAAAGCCCTGTGAGAAGGAAAGGAAAGGAACTGGATTGAAGTCAGCAGACTGATGATGAGAGGGGACATCTCACAGACACTGAATTTAAAGAATCCTGGAATGGTTTGGGTTGGAGGGACCTTAAAGCCCACCCAGTGCCACCCCTGCCACGGGCAGGGACACCTTCCACCAGCCCAGGGTGCTCCAAGCCCTGTCCAACCCGGCCTTGGACACTTCCAGGGATCCAGGGGCATCATAAAGAATGCAAATATAAATAATATCAACCTGGGCCAGCGCCACAGGGGGCACAAAGTAAGAAAAGGGGCAGTGTGAGAAAGGCCCAGGGAGATCACAAAACAAGCTGTGGACCCACGGAATGCCACTGAAACCCCACTAAATCCTACTATAAGTTGTACTCAAAGCCCTCCTCTTCCAGCTCCCCTCCTTTTTTTTCCTTCTAGTTATATGTATGGACTGTGTTCCATGAAGTCTGCAGACACCACACACCCCTGTTCCCTCAGAGGGGCAGTTTCTCCCACTAAAAATAAAGATTTACCACTTGTCTTTTTCTCTTGCAAGATTCCCTGCTCTTGCTTCTCCTTTTACTCCTTCTCCTTGGAGCCTTCTCTGTATCTCAATGTTCATCCTGAGATGTAATTACTCTGAAACAAAGGGATCCTCAGCAGGCCTTGACATTTACAATGTCTACAGAATATAAGAATTTCTTCCCAAAATCAAATCTAAAGCTCTCTTTCAGTTTTAAACCATTTCCCCTTGCCCTCTCACTTCCTTTCCTTGGAAAGCACTGGCATGGATAATTAGCTCACTAACAGTGCTTGAAAGAGCCACCAGATTGTTGGGCAAGAAAGAAATTCTTCACCCTGAGAAAAATGGATACTTCAATTAATATATCTTATATATCTTACACAAACCATCATTATCTTCATATTAAGATATCACCTAGTGAAGCCTTTCAAACCACAAGCTGTAAGGTCACTGAACCAACACGTGGACGTTCTGGGAATAGTCAATATGTCTGGTTCTGGAAACAGCAGTGATTTCACCCTTTTGAGGTCAATGATAAAATAACATTTATCAAATTCAAGTTCACAGTCTGTGGAAGCTCGAAAAATTCCTTCTGAAGGCTGTTCTCTCCTAGCTTTTTCTTCCACAGCAGTTGGTATTCCTTGTTCTAGAAGGATTTACTAAATACTTGTTCTAGCAGGATTTACTAAACACTGCTCTGAAGATTTTGTGAGCTCAGAGCAACAAAATTATAGACCAGCCCCACAAAAATGTACTCCTCCACACACCTGGGGAAAACAGAAATGTAAATTATTTTTCCATCATCATCATAAATGTCGAAGAAGTGGATTTTTGTGCCTGGCAGTTTTGATGACAACAGTGTCAGGCTGATTTTAAGTGCTGGAGTCAGGTCACACCTACTCCATTTAAACCTGAGGAGTTTGAATAAGAACATAAAAATCCCCCACTCTGCTGATTCATCCATTACAGCAACTTCAATATTGAAACTGCTGATGCTTCATCAAGAGCCAAACTGTTTTCCAGCAGGGCTGCATTTACTGCAAACTCATTTCTGTTTTATCTTGTGCAATGAATTCGATTTGCTCTTTAAATCTCCCACTGGAGTGGTTTAAACAGTAATTCAGATCCGATTCCTGCAGATCATAATGAAAAGCTAAATGCAATCTTTTAAAGAATATTATGTCAAAGGACTTCCAGAAAAGTATGTTTAATTTACAGTTTTCATTCCAAACAAAAATAAAGTATTCAAATAAACAGACATTTGATCACCCAACTGTTGGAGCCAGGCTGGGAGAGCTGAGGAGGCTCAGCCTGGAAAAGAGAAGGTTCCAGGGAGACCTGAGAGCCCCTTCCAGGGCCTAAAGGGGCTCCAGGAGAGCTGGAGAGGGACTGGGGACAAGGGATGGAGGGACAGGAAAAGCAGGAATGGCTGCCCACTGCCACAGGATATTGGGAAAGAATTCTTCCCTGTGAGGGTGGAGAGGCCCTGGCCCAGGTTGCCCAGAGAAGCTGTGGCTGCCCCTGGATCCCTGGAAATGTCCAAGGCCAGGTTGGATGGGGCATCCAGTGCCACCCCTGCCATGGGCAGGGACACCTTCCACCAGCCCAGGTTGCTCCAAGCCCCGTCCAACCTGGCCTTGGACACTTCCAGGGATCCAGGGGCAGCCACAGCTTCTCTGGGCAACCTGGGCCAGGGCCTCCCCACCCTCCCAGCCAGCAATTCCTTCCTAAATCTTGTCATGACTAATTTGCTGTAACAGGGAGGCTTGAAAGACCCAGAGTGTTCACCAACAAATAAATTTCCAAGACCTGTTTCCATGTTAAAGATCCAAAAATGGACTTCTGCACATGTACAGTCCAAGCCCCTCAGAAGACACCCAGAACCCTCCCTTCAGGGCCATTTAATTTAACCTTAAATAGATGAATGGACTTTTAAAACATGTGCATTGAACCTGCCAACAATTCATGAGCTGTAAGTATTTAAATACAAAGGTCAAACTAACACAGCTCAGCAAGACTTCTGCTGCCACTTTATCTTTTAATGTGTTTTTCCTATGCTTCAATTTTCCCTTTTGAAGAGATAACAGACTGTAAGAGTGATTGCACTCTGTGCTAAAGCCAAGCATTAATTTGGATTTAAGCAGAAGTAAAATGACCTGAAAGAGAGTAATGGCTTTAACCCCGAGCACAGGGGAGGTATGAGGGGCAGAAAAAGGCCGCTGCTCAGTGACAAAAATTAACTCTACCACAGCCCAAACTGGCACATTTCCTTTAATAATATTTAAAAATAAATTCATTATTTGTAATGCAAATGCCCATCCGACAACCAAATTTCTTTTAACTGCTGTAACAGTGTGGATTTGACATTTTCAGTGTACCCAAAATTTCTAGAGTGCAACATTTCATTAATAAAGTGCATTCAAAAATCTTCACAAGAGACAGGAATTAGTATTAAATTATTTCACTGTAAAGTTTAACCACTTAAACAGAGAATACTTCCACCCAAACCTTTTACCATCTTCCCCTTGGCTCTCCTTCGTGTCTGGATGAGAAGCCTTTTCCACCAGAGCCTCGTAAGTCTTTTGTGCTCGAACAATTTCCTTCTCTGGGCTGAAATGCACCATCTGCCTGCTCAGAATGGGAACGACCAGATTGAAGTTGTCAACTCTCTTGTTTAGTTTCCTGATGTCTTCCACAAACTGCTCGCAGATCCGACCCCACTGCTTCTGCTCCAGCGGCGTCATGGGCTCTCCCAGCTTCCTCCTCGAGGCCACCACGCTCTTCCTCAGCCCCTCGATGGTCTCCCGGATCTCCTTCTGCAGCAGGATCCACTCGGGCTGGTACCCGTTGTCAATCAGGATCCTGTTGAGGTTGTGGGTCATGGGGTCGATGTGGGGACAGTCTGAGAATTTCTGCAGAGGTTTTCCTTTGCCCCGGAGGTTGTCGAAGTCTCCTTTGGCCATGGATTCCTGGATGAGGTCCTCCACCAACCGTTCCACCGCTTGAGTTATTTTCACCTTCTTGCTCTCCCTCACATCCTTGGCTCTCATCAGGTCAGTCTCAGGGTAGCTGCTGCCGAGCCTGTGCTGCCGGTACTCCAGCACCTGCTCCGTGGCGCGGTCCACTCGGAACTGCATGTACTGCTTCTCCCTCTGGCTCGGCGTTCCGATGCCGACGCCTTCAAAACTCAAGTAGTGCCTGTGCTGTAGGGACTTGGATTTGAACTGGTCTTCCTCCTCTTCGCTGTCCTCGCCGGGTTTCTGCTTGGCTGCCACGTCGTTGAGCACAACCCTGTAGGCCTCCTCCACCCTGATGAAGGCGGCGGGGTCGGCCGCGCTGGAGCTGCTGTCGGGGTGGTACTTTTTGGCGAGGGTTCGGTAGGAGTTCCTCACCTCATCGAGGGAACATCCTTCCTCAAGCTCCAGGATTTTGTAAGAGTCCTTGACGTCGCCTTTGGGTTTGTAACCCGACAACATCCTGCAGAGAAACGGCTTCAGCTTCCTTGGGATCACGGCTCCCTGTCCCAGGAAACGGTGCCCCATGGTGTTGGTCAGCATGGCACACAGACAGCGGGGATTTCTTCAGGTGCAGCTACATTACAAACAGCCTGCAAACACATTTGTGTTTGAACTGTGTTAAATATGCTTTTTTAAAGAACTCCCAGGATTTATGTCTTATCTTTATGGTATCATAGAATCATGGAATCACAGCTGGGTTGGAAAGGACCTTAAAAATCATCTCATTCCATCCCCCTGCCATGGGGCAGCCACAGCTGCTCTGGGCAACCTGGGCCAGGGCCTCCCCACCCTCCCAGCCAGGAACTCCTTCCCAATATCCCACCTAACCCTACCCTCCTTCAGCTTAACACCATTAATCTGCACTTCTAAATAATTAATATTGAAGTCATATTACAATATAAAAGAAAATTAATTCATACTATAGTTTTCTCCTACAATGGCAGCATGGGTTTGTTTTGCAGTGCAGAATTCCCACAAAGCATTTTTATTGCCTTTCTTTTATTTTTTGATTAATTATTTTATTGCCCTTATTGCCTATCAGCAAACTCAGAGCAGGGTAAACTGGAAATACCCTTTATGCTGAGGGGTAACTGCTGAAACAAATCCTTCCCTTTTCCCCTCTGTACCTACATTCAGCACTGTCTGAATTTCCCACTCCCATGGATCCCAGTGCCTCAACATGTACAACCTGGAACACTTCCAAAGGATGTCATCACAGCACGTTTTTGGTACTTCCCAGCAACATCTGTAGCAGTGTTCAGGTTATACATTCATTTAGACTGGCTCTTGTACCCCAGCAGGGGTCAAACTCCTTCACTCGTGCCAGGTAAGGCTGGAAACCTGGAACTGAGAACAGATCAATAGTGGTCAATATTTCCCTCCGTCAGCAATTCCAGTGCTTCGGGGTTATTTGGGAAAAGAGCAAAAGGAACAGCTTATAAATCAGGTCTTTATGTAAGTTCAAAGTAGAAGAACATAACACAACCTGCACCCACCATTTAAACATAGCTAACTCCTCCTTTACTCGTGGAAATAAATCCTAAGGGAAATGCTGGATCACTGGTGCTAAAGGCTCAGGGAGGGCAACATCCACTTGGCTGACTCAATTTCCAAACAAAAAACTAGGTCAAACAAAGATTAATTAAGGACTAAATAGTACTTATCTGTCCTGTACACAAAAAATTGCCCTTCTGCCCCAACCCAGAAAAGGAAAAGGGGATGTTCTTGGGAATGGATCAATCCTAAATGCTTTCAGCTGATTTTGATCTATGTCACTTGTTGAGTCCTCAGCTTGTGATAACGGACTTCATCAACATGTGGTTTTTTTAATTTATGATATAGAGTAGTGTGATATATAAATAATTGTGATTTGTGAAACAAATGGGTGATTACATCAAAATAAAACAAACATTGTAAAACTTAATTACACCCCTTAAAGAAATAAAACAGACCCTTACAAGGTCGAGAGGCCCAAAACCTCCCTACTATCCTAAAAATAAAATATGGTTTTTTTAGGCGCCTGTTCATCCAAGAATGCATGAATTATGACTGGTTGTAGAGATAACCCCTTTTAGCTTTAGTTGTAAGAAAACTCATATATTAAATACTTAGCAAAAACCTGTAGAATATAGAATGTATATGTGTATGATATATGAGAATGTATATGTATATGATATAATTAATATGCATGAAGTAGCTAAGATAAATACTAAATTTGGGAATGGGAAATTGGTCCCCATTTCTGTCACCCAGCCGGCTGCTTGCTTTTACCATATAACAAACTATTATTCAAAAACTTATAGAAACTCGAGACTTTGTTTATCAGAGAAGTGATTTTTTTCGTTCTAGGTGTCAGACAAAGATAATAATTGAGTTTTATATGGCCATAAGAACCTGCGTCACTACTACTTAAACAGAAAGAACGACTACACTCTTTAATTCAATCACTGCTCAGAAAGTGACTTTCTCGTAGCTCCGCAGCCATTAATTTAATATATTTGTGCGTAAAGAAGCATGAATAGAACCCCAGCTGCACCCAAAGGGGGTTATCCCCGGCGGGGACTGGGAAGGGAAACCGGGCTGAGCCCCTCAGGACCCCCATCCCTCCCTCCCTCCCTGTCCCGCAGCGCGGGGGGGTCTCCCCGCAGCGCCCCCCGCACCTGAGACCCCCGAGCCCCCCCGGCTCACCTGGAGCCCCGGGCCGAGCTGAGACCCCCGAGCCCCCCCGGCTCACCTGGAGCCCCGGGCCGAGCTGAGACCCCCGAGCCCCCCCGGCTCACCTGGAGCCCCGGGCCGAGCAGGCCGGTAACGGCGGCGGGGAGGAAGAGGAGGGCGCGGAGGAAGAGCAGAGGATGGGGCAGCCGCTGTGACCCCGCGCCCAAGGACGGGAGGGAGGGAGAGACGGAGAGAGGGGCGGGAACGGGGAGGGACGGAGGGAGGGAACGAGGGGGACGGAGAGACGGGGAAGGAGGGAAGAAGGAGGGAAGGAAGAAAGAAGGGGGGGAGGGAGGGAAAAAGGGAGGGAGGAAAGGACGAAGCAGAAGAAGAAGGGAGTAAGGGAGGGAAGAATGGCGGGGAGAGTGACAAGGAGGGGGCGAGAGAGGGAAGGAGGGGGCGAGAGCGAGGGACTGGGGCAGAGCAGGGGAGGCCGCGGATCCCCCCTGCCCCCGCTCCCCGCCAGGGGCCGCCCGAGAGCCGCGGCAGCCGCGCGCGGGGCCGTGAGGGGCGGGCGCTGTGAGGGGCGGGGCCGTGAGGGAAGGGCGCTGTGAGGGGCGGGGCCGTGAGGGACCGGGGCTGTGAGGGGCGAGCGCTGTGAGGGGCGGGCGCTGTGAGGGGCGAGCGCTGTGAGGGGCCGGGGCGACCGTGAGGGGCTGAGGGTCCTTGCGCTGCGATTTCTGCTCGGCCGTGAGGGGCTGAGGGTCCTTGCGCTGCGATTTCTGCTCGGCCGTGAGGGGCTGAGGGTCCTTGCGCTGCGATTTCTGCTCGGCCGTGAGGGGCTGAGGGTCCTTGCGCTGCGATTTCTGCGCGGCCGCTCCCACAAACGGACCCCAGCGCCCTTTTTAGGCGTTGTCCTCCCGAGGCAGTTCCGCCGGAGCGGGGGAAGGATCCGTTGCCTCGTCACGGGCTTTCAAACAACTTCCCCCGGAATGCGGGGGACGGTTCCCCGCAGGCTCGCGCTGCCGCCCCTGCCCCATAAGGCGCTTTCCAACTGTTGCGAGGGGCTCTGAGAGTCCTTCAGGCAGGGCTAGATGGAATATTGGGAAGAAATCCTTCCCTGTGAGAGGGGGATGCGCTGGCAGAGGTTGCCCGGAGAAGGTGTGGATGCCCTATCTCTGGAAGTGTTCAAGACCAAGCTGGGAAGCTCTGGACCAAGGGAAGAGGGCCTGGGATAAAGGGCAAACCTCTGCAGGCTCCCCCTGCTCCCTGGAATTGAAGGGCTTGCTGTGTGAGCAGCGAGGAAACGTCTCAGCCCTGCCAAGCTGGACGTCTTTCTGCAGGGAGGGTTTGGATCCCCAGCAGAGGCTTGTCAAAAATTAAAGCTGTTCCTCCCATTTCAGCTTCTCAGGCCCCGCTTTTTATTGCTGTGTGTGAAGCCAGGGGTGATAAAAGTCAGCCTGGTGCGCCCACAGACATGTGTCCCTTGGGGACAGGGATTAGGGGTGAGCGTGGTGGTGCTGGGGGAGGGTGGGACTGGGGGATCCTGGAGGGCTCTTCCCTGATGACTGTGTGAGTCTTGGGACTGCCCCGAGCCAGGGGCAGCAGCTGGCCCCTGGCCTTGTGGAAGCTGCTGAGGTTGTGGTGGTGCCACTTGTGCAGCCTGTGCAGGGGGCTGTGGATGGCCCCGTCCTCGCGGGGTGTGCCCTGCCCCGCTCAGCTGCCTGTGCCCTGCCCCGTGCTGAGGGTGCGCTGGTGCCACTGCGTGTCCCTGCCCAAGGCCCTGAGGAGCCGCGGGGCCGAGGCAGAGCCCTGAGGGACACCCCTCGTGCCCGGCCCAGCCCGGGCCATGGAGACACTGCCCACGAGTGCCTGGCACGGCCACGGGGCCGATTCCTGCTGCGCCGCCCAGCCCGGCCTGCAAAGCTGTGCCCTGTGGAGAGCGGGGGTCGTGTGGGACCGAGGGCAAAGCCCCCCAGGGCTCCGGGCACAGCGGGGGCTGCAAGGCCACAAGTGCTGGGGCTGCCCCGGGCCGGGTCCGGGCGGTGCCGCTGTCCAAGGGGGGCCGGGGGTGGCCCTTTGTGACACGGGACATGGCAGTGCCCGGATACCCTTGTGACATCACAGAGCCCTGCCCTGCCCACGGGTGTTTGAGGGGCACAGAGCCCGGGGGTGCCCACTCCCAGGAGAGCCTCTCTCGCAGGAGGAAGCAGCTCCAGGGATCTCTCTGCCAGAGAGGACGAGAGAAGTTTTAGAAGGAGAAGAAGACGGAGATGGACAAGCGCAACTCCCAGCCCAGCCAGGGGCAAACTCCGAGCCTGCCCAGGGTGAGGGACAGGGAGCCAACGCTGCCATCTCAGCCAAGGCAGCGACTGCTGCCACTGCGGCCGACAATGTCACCACCGGCACGACAGCCAGGGCAGCCAAGGCAGCCAACAATGTCACTGCTGCCACTGCTGCCACCACTGGAACAACAGCCAAGGCAGCCAACACTGCCATCGCTGCCACCACTGCCAAGACAGTCATCGCTGCCACTGCTGCCACCACTGCCAGGGCAGCCAAGGCAGCCACCACTGTCATCGCTGCCACCACTGGCAGCACTGCCACGGCAGCCAACGCTGCCACCACTGACACGGCTGCCACGGCAGCCACAGGAGACAAGGAAGATGGAGATTTCTGAGGAGGAAAGGAAGATGGAGAGGGACGAGAACAGGAAGATGGAGATGGATAAGCCATGGCTGCCACCACTGCCATGGCAGACAAGGAAGCAACAACTGCCACCACTGCCAACACTGCCACTGGTTCCACCGCAGCCACAGCCACCACTGCCACCACTGCCCAAGCTGCCACAGCTGCCAGCACTGGCACAGGTGCCTCAGCTGCCACGGCTGCCACCACTACCCCAGCAGCCACCGCTACCACCAGTGCCACGGCAGCCCCCAGTGCCAGCTCTGCCCTGCCCAGAGAGCCCCAGGGACACCGTGAGCCGGGGCACAGAGCTGGGCAGCGCAGGGCACACGGGGCCACGGGCCCGCAGCCCCTCTCCCCGGCTGCCCCCACGGCCCGAGAGCCCCGTGCCCGGGCTGCTCTTGCCCCCCAGCACGGGGGCACAGGAGGCCCCAGCCCGGCCCGCGCTCGCTGCCGACGCCAGCTGGGAGCCTCTTCCTCTGCCGGCAGCTCCCTCGGCCGCTCCTGCCAGCCAGCACAGCCAACCCGGCACGGCACCGCTGCAGCACCAGCCTGGCACAGAGCTCAGCCTCGTCTCAGACACGGAGCTGCTGCAGGAGCTGCACAGGAGGGGCCTGCTCCGTGCTGCCACAGACCTCAGCCTTGTCTCGGACACGGAGCTGCTGCAGGAGCTGCACAGGAGGCTCCTGCTCCGTGCTGGCACCACAGAGGCCCCACTCCCGGCAGCCGGCCCGCCGCTCCTGGGGGGCATTACAAGCCAAGGACAGTCCCAGCAGGAAGACGACGAAGAGCTGTGCCAAGGGACAGATGGCCTTGGCAAACAAGTGTCCCAAGGGGAAGATGTCCAGTCGGAAGGGGACTCCAATGTCCAAGAGCTCTCCCAACTGGAAGAGGACATTGGCGAGCCAGTGTCCCCACAGGAAGAGGACATTTTAAAACCTCTGTCCCCACAGGAAGAGGACAGTGCAAAACCTTTGTCTCCACAGGAAAAAGACAATGGCAAACCACTGTCCCCACAGGAAGAGGACACTGGAAAACCACTGTCCCCACGGGAAGAGGACATTTTAAAACCACTGTCCCCACAGGAAGAGGGCAGTGGCAAACCACTGTCCCCAGCAGAAGAAAACCCTGTCCCGTGCGGCCCCACTGACTCGTCACAGCTGGAGCACCACGGGACTGGGAAGGAGCCGGACGTGGAGTCTCAGCTGGAGCACCCACAGAGGCGGCCCAGGAGATCAGCACAGCACGGCATAACAGGACCCTGGACAACCCTTCAGCTGGATTGATGCTGGAACAAGGACTGACATCCCATCAGCTGGATCGACACTGGATTCCAGGCTGAGCTCCCATGAGCTGCACTAGCACTGGAACCAGAACGGATGATCTCTTTTTCTCTTTCTTTCTCTCTCTCTCCCTCTTGAACTCATCTCTTCCTTTCTCTCTTCCCTTTCACCCTTCCCCTCTGTCCCAAAGCCACTGACCTGTGCTTTTAGAGTAGGCCCAGAACTAACACAGGAATTTCCACACTTAGTTTGTTTTAATAATTAAGAAAACATGCTATTATATTAATAATATTAATGATTAAATAACTTTAAACTATAATAAATTATTAAGGACAGTAATGAAAATATTACATTTAATATTATAATTAATAATTTATTCTAGCTCATTTAATATACCAAATATATTGCCTTTATAATATTCTACTGTTTGCTCCCATATGAGTGCAGTTCACCCGAGAGCTCAGCCACGGGCTCTCGACCATTAAAGAAAGTTTCTTTAGGAAACATTGTCCAACTGCCAAACTGACAGCCAAGGGGAAAGTAACACCACCCCCTGAGCTGGGCCCTTGTCACAGCTCTCCCAGGCTGGGCCATGTGCCCCCTGCCCTCTGGGCTGCTTCTGGCAGTCCCTTCCCTTTCTCTTCCCCTCTCCCCTTCCCCCTGCTGTAGGGAGGAATGTGTTGATGCAGCTTGCAAAGCACCTTCCTTGAGCAGGGCTTTGCCTGCTTTGTCAGTCCTGGCAAAAAACAGCTGGAGGGAAAGAGAGAACGTCCAATTCTCACTCATTCCTCCAACCTGAAGTCTCTCGGCCACAAAAGGTCTCTTGAGCAAAGAGAAATTCCCAACCCAGTTCATGTCTTTATTGTACTAGTATATTCACCATAATTAATAAATATTTAACAAAAAATGCTGAGTGTTTGTGGACTCTCTGACTTTTGCTGCTCCTCCCGACTGCGAGCATTTACAAATCCCAGGTGCTCCCTTCCCCAACTCCTTCTCAGCATCTTGAGGACTGGAATAGGGGAATTCTGCACAAGCTGTTCCCAACGCCAAAGCCTTCCTGGAAAACCTGCCCCAGATTGCGTGGCTGCCCCTGGATCCCTGGCAGTGCCCAAGGCCGGGCTGGCCGGGGCTTGGAGCGAGCTGGGCTGGTGGAAGGTGTCCCTGGCCATGGCAGGGGTGGCACCGGCCGAGCTTTGGGGTCCCTCCCGGCCCAGCCCGTCCCTGCTCCCCCCAGCCCCAGAGCTCTCCCCGGGTCTCTCCGCTCCCTCCCTGCTGGGGGAGGCGCTGCGGGCACTGGGGAGGACTGGGAGCGACCCCTCGGGCTCCGAGCCCCGGCCAGCGGCGCTTCTGCCGGAGGGGGACAGGGAAAAGCAGATGCCAATGTGTCAGGATGCAAGTTTGTATTCTTGTGACTCCTTGGACGGGAAAGGTTTGCATTTGAAAGAGGGGAGTTTGAGGCCAGGTGGCCCTTTGAGTCGTTTCTTCTTCTGCATTTAGCCGGGCCAGCGCAGCAGTGGCCGCCAATGAATGCAAGGGATGGTTTTGGGAGAGGCGAGCGTTTGGGCCGGTTGAGTTTTCGGTTTCCTTTGTCGGTTTTTTGTGGGTCTTTTCCACTGGGCAGCCCCGAGGGGCGCCTGGAAGGGTGCGCGCGGGGCGGGGCGGGCGGGAAACGGCGGGAGCGCGGGGGTGGGGGGGGGGACCCGCAGGGGGGTCTGGGGTGTGCTGAGGGTGGGGGGAGGGGTCTGGGGTTCTGAGGGTGTGGGGAAGCGGGTTTGGGTGCTGAGGGTTGGGGAGGCCGGTTGGGTTGCTGAGGGTGTGGGGGAGGGGTCTGGGGGGGCTGAGGGTGTGGGGAGGGGTCTGGGGGTGCTGAGGGTGTGGGGAGCGGTCTGGGGATGCTGAGGGTGTGGGGAGGGGTCTGGGGGTGCTGAGGGTGTGGGGAGCGGGTTTGGGCGTCCCGGGTTGTGGGGAGAGGGTTTGGGTGTGCAAGGAGACATTTGAAAGGAATTGGATCAGGGAGAGGACAGAGCAAGGACATCCAGGAAAGAAAGGAAAAGAGGAGGCAAGGCACTTTGCCTGGACTAGACCTCTTAAGTCCTCTTTCTATTTTCAAGCCTTTGGACAAACTCCTCTTTCTTGCCTTCTCCTCTCTTCTTTTTCTCTGCTTTTGTTCCCACAGGTATTGGTAGTTTGGGCTGGTAAATTTGTAAAAGCCCTGAGGCTGAATACTGGTTTGAGAAATCCAGAGGTGGTGTGGGATAAAGGATTGTGCCAGTGCTTCTTTGCTGCCTGAAATAAAAGCTCTCAGAAATGTTTCTGGTCTGAATTCAGTTTAGCCCTTAGCATTGGTTTGGAACTAAAGGAATGTTCACCTGCAAACCACTGTCCCCACGGGAAGAGGACATTGGAAAACCACTGTCCCCACGGGAAGAGGACATTTTAAAACCATTGTTCCCACAGGAAGTGGGCAGTGGCAAACCACTGTCCCCAGCAGAAGAAAACCCTGTCCCGTGTGGCTCCACTGACTCGTCACAGCTGGAGCACCACGGGACTGGGAAGGAGCCGGACATGGAGTCTCAGCTGGAGCACCCACAGAGGCGGCCCAAGAGTGGCGTGTTTGCCAGGGGCAAACTCCGAGCCTGCCCAGGGTGAGGGACAGGGAGCCAACGCTGCCATCTCAGCCAAGGCAGCGACTGCTGCCACTGCAGCCACGAGTGTCACCACCGGCACGACAGCCAGGGCAGCCAAGGCAGCCAACAATGTCACTGCTGCCACTGCTGCCACCACTGCCAGGGCAGCCAAGGCAGCCACCACTGTCATCGCTGCCACCACTGGCAGCACTGCCACGGCAGCCAACGCTGCCACCACTGACACGGCTGCCACGGCAGCCACAGGAGACAAGGAAGATGGAGATTTCGGAGGAGGAAAGGAAGATGGAGAGGGACGAGAACAGGAAGATGGAGAGGGACAAAAGCAGGAAGATGGAGATGGATAAGCCATGGCTGCCACCACTGCCATGGCAGACAAGGAAGCAACAACTGCCACCACTGACAGCACTGCCACTGGTTCCACCGCAGCCACAGCCGCCACTGCCACCACTGCCCAAGCTGCCACAGCTGCCAGCACTGGCACAGGTGCCTCAGCTCCCACGGCTGCCACCACTACCCCAGCAGCCACCGCTACCACCAGTGCCACGGCAGCCCCCAGTGCCAGCTCTGCCCTGCCCAGAGAGCCCCAGGGACACCGTGAGCCGGGGCACAGAGCTGGGCAGCGCAGGGCACACGGGGCCACGGGCCCGCAGCCCCTCTCCCCGGCTGCCCCCACGGCCCGAGAGCCCCGTGCCCGGGCTGCTCTTGCCCCCCAGCACGGGGGCACAGGAGGCCCCAGCCCGGCCCGCGCTCGCTGCCGACGCCAGCTGGGAGCCTCTTCCTCTGCCGGCAGCTCCCTCGGCCGCTCCTGCCAGCCAGCACAGCCAACCCGGCACGGCACCGCTGCAGCACCAGCCTGGCACAGAGCTCAGCCTCGTCTCAGACACGGAGCTGCTGCAGGAGCTGCACAGGAGGGGCCTGCTCCGTGCTGCCACAGACCTCAGCCTTGTCTCGGACACGGAGCTGCTGCAGGAGCTGCACAGGAGGCTCCTGCTCCGTGCTGGCACCACAGAGGCCCCACTCCCGGCAGCCGGCCCGCCGCTCCTGGGGGGCATTACAAGCCAAGGACAGTCCCAGCAGGAAGACGACGAAGAGCTGTGCCAAGGGACAGATGGCCTTGGCAAACAAGTGTCCCAAGGGGAAGATGTCCAGTCGGAAGGGGACTCCAATGTCCAAGAGCTCTCCCAACTGGAAGAGGACATTTTAAAACCTCTGTCCCCACAGGAAGAGGACAGTGCAAAACCTTTGTCTCCACAGGAAAAAGACAATGGCAAACCACTGTCCCCACAGGAAGAGGACACTGGAAAACCACTGTCCCCACGGGAAGAGGACATTTTAAAACCACTGTCCCCACAGGAAGAGGGCAGTGGCAAACCACTGTCCCCAGCAGAAGAAAACCCTGTCCCGTGCGGCCCCACTGACTCGTCACAGCTGGAGCACCACGGGATTGGGAAGGAGCCGGACGTGGAGTCTCAGCTGGAGCACCCACAGAGGCGGCCCAGGAGTGGCGTGTTTGGAGGAATGAAAAGAATAAGGAACTGGTTCCACAAGTCCAAGAGCCAAGGACTCACCCAAGAGAAAGCAGACCAAGAGGAACGGCCGTTCCAAGGGCCAGGGGAGAACGACCAGGCCAAGGAGCTTTCTCAAGGGCAAGACAACAGAGTCCAGGGGCTGTCCCAAGGGCACGATGACAAACCCTTGGACCCGGGCAGCGACGACGACCCCCTGGAGGGGCCCAGCTCTCTCTACATCCCGAGCAAGTCCCAGCGGCCTCTCTCTTCCAAGCAACCAAAGGCAGACACTTCTCCATCCACCAGTGAGGAGCAGACCCCAGCAAGGTCCCGCAGCTCCTCCCAGGGCAGCCAAGTTCTGCAGGACACAGTCCAGCCCCTCATCCACGACATCCTGAGCAAGGCTGTGCTGGAGGTGGACACTTCATCCATCAATGAGTCCTACACCCCAGCAGGGTCCCGGAACCCCTCCCAGGGCAGCCAAGATCTGTGGGACACAGCTCAGAAATTAATCCAGCACGTCCTGAGCAAGGCTGCGCTGGAGGTGCAGAGGTGTCCCCAGCAGCCACAGGAGCAGCACAAGCTGGGACAAAGCCCGGCTGCAGACGTGAAACCAGCAGTTGCAGCCCAGGCCGTGTCCCCAGGGGCAGAGGGCAGGGAAGCCCCCAGGGCTGTCCCCGGGAAACGTCCCTCCCTGTTGAGGCGCGCGCTCCGCGCTGTGCACAGGCTGTTCCGCTGGCCCCGCAGGCCGGCACAGCCGCACCATTAGGCCCCGCTCCAGCGCCAGGCCCGGCCCAGACAGCGCAGGGCGGGCAGCGCTTTGCCGGGACCGACATCTCCCGCAGACCAGCACAGCACGGAACAGCACGGGCGCCGCAACGAGGCCAAGAAGTGGCCACAGACTGGAGGGGGATCGAGAGCCCCAGAGACCCCCAGACCTCAGACCCCTTTCCGGAGAGGTCTGAAAGAACAGCCTGTGCATGGGAACTCGTTGGCACAGAAGAGAGAAAGCCACCTTCCGTGGGGAACCCTGTCCCTGCAAAGGTACCCCCAGCAAGCCCAGCAGCCTGGACATCCCTCCAGCTGCATCCACGCTGGACACCAGACTGACCCCTTGCACAGGATGGCGGCGTCACCCATTCTCACAGGAAGGTAGGAGACTGTGCTGAATGTCCCCTCCAAGAGCTGTAGGAACAGTCCCTTGACAAGGTCCCAGTGTGCCAGTATCGAAAAGTCAGTTAAATGACGGCCTTTTGTAGTGCTGAACAAAACAGCTCCCTTTAGGGTTCCTTTCTCTGGCCTCCTGGTGTCCGGCTGGGTGTGCTTGGAGAGCACAAACCGATGCCCTTGTTTGTGGTTTCCTTCAGCTTTGCCCCAGGTTCCCGCAGACCGAGGGCACCACTCAGTCACCCCTGGCCCTTCAGTGCACTTGCAGAACTCACAGGTACTTGGTGGAGCAAGAGCTTGTCATGTTTGCTTCCCTTCCCTTGCCCAGAGAATTCACCCAACCAAAGCCAACAGGAGTTTTTCCTGCAGGGAAGGCCAGAGCTGCCACCAAGGAGGGAAGCAGAGCCCCGTGGCTGTGGGAAGGACTGACCCTTTGCAGGCTGACAACATGGTAAGTGGGTGCAGCTGTTTGAACAGCCCAAACCTTTCCCAACTGTCACCTGGACCTGGATGCCCTCTTTTGTTGAGGCTGCAATCCCTTGGATGAAGTTGTCCCTGTGGATACAATTGGTACTTCATGTTCCTAGGAAGGACCCTCCCCAGCTGGGCAAGCTTTGTGCAGCCGTGGTTTCTGTTGCACTGGGGGCAGCTCTTTCCCATCCTGTCCAGAGCAAGGAGAGTCTAAAGCACTTTGGAGCTCCCTCGGGGAGAGCCAGCCCGTGGCTGGGAGAAAGTAAATATTGCACCAGCTGCTTTGGGGGCAGCAAAGGAAACCAGAGCCCTGTCTTGGCTGCATTTCCATTCTCACGCCTCAGCCACTCGCCTCCACCTACAGTGTTTGCCTCTGTGGGGCTGTAAGAACAATCAACCCACAAGAGCTGTGGAACTGGCTGTTGGCTTTGGGGGAGGGTCACCGGGTCGGGAGGCAGCTGCTTCATCGTAACATTGGGACTGGAGTCAGCGTGGAACACAGACTCTCTGGCAGCTGAAGCACTTCAAACTATGTTCCCACTTCAACTGTTTGGGTTTTGCTTCAAATATCCCAGCCTTTTCCCCTTCTTTCCCTGCAGACAATGCCATGACCCGGATGGGAGTGCAGAGCAGGTCTGGCCTGACAGGACAGTCATCCACGACCACATCAGCCTGACATTCCCTGATGATGGCAACGGGATGAACTTGGAGCAGCTGCGCAAAATACTAAGGTGGAGAACCCCTCTCTGTAGGAATTCCAGCTCCTCCTTCTGTTACTGCTCAGCTCATTCCTTTTTGTCTGATGGAATTCCCTCCTTTGGGTCAGGAACTCAACATTTCTGAAGGGCAGGGAGAATTCACGGGAGACTCCAGAGCGTACAAATGCTCTGGAAACTTCCACACAACTTTGTCACGGAACTTTGATCTCCTCATTTCCTTGGATCCTTTCTCTCAGCCTTCCCGTTTAACTTGCCAGGCACTGTGCAACCTCTCTGGAGTGCCCATTAGTGGAGAGAAAGAGAATTCATATGGTTGTGACTGTCTTTACTTTCAGTTGGCAACCAAGAGAAGAGACAGACTCGGCTCCAATCCTTTGGAGTATTGATAAGAGAAGGTATTGTGGGAAATGATCCTGTGCCTTTTCTGTTTCTCCTGCCATAGTCGGTAGGGTTTGGACTGATCTCTCTTTTATTTCTCCAGGTAGCAGAGAGGTTTCTTTCCCCTTTAGTGGAGAAGATAGTGTATAGACCCCCTTATTAGAGAAGATAGTGTACAGACCCCATTATTAGAGAAGATTGTGTACAGACCCCATTATTAGAGAAGATTGTGTACAGACCCCTTTAGTAGAGAAGATTGTGTACAGACCCCCTTAGTAGAGAAGATTGTGTACAGACCCCTTTAGTAGAGAAGATTGTGTACAGACCCCCTTAGTAGAGAAGATTGTGTACAGACCCCCTTAGTAGAGAAGATTGCTCTGCCTGCAGCTGTACCCGTGGACAACCCTTTATAATATTCTACTGTTTGCTCCCATATGAGTGCAGTTCACCCGAGAGCTCAGCCACGGGCTCTCGACCATTAAAGAAAGTTTCTTTAGGAAACATTGTCCAACTGCCAAACTGACAGCCAAGGGGAAAGTAACACCACCCCCTGAGCTGGGCCCTTGTCACAGCTCTCCCAGGCTGGGCCATGTGCCCCCTGCCCTCTGGGCTGCTTCTGGCAGTCCCTTCCCTTTCTCTTCCCCTCTCCCCTTCCCCCTGCTGTAGGGAGGAATGTGTTGATGCAGCTTGCAAAGCACCTTCCTTGAGCAGGGCTTTGCCTGCTTTGTCAGTCCTGGCAAAAAACAGCTGGAGGGAAAGAGAGAACGTCCAATTCTCACTCATTCCTCCAACCTGAAGTCTCTCGGCCACAAAAGGTCTCTTGAGCAAAGAGAAATTCCCAACCCAGTTCATGTCTTTATTGTACTAGTATATTCACCATAATTAATAAATATTTAACAAAAAATGCTGAGTGTTTGTGGACTCTCTGACTTTTGCTGCTCCTCCCGACTGCGAGCATTTACAAATCCCAGGTGCTCCCTTCCCCAACTCCTTCTCAGCAACTTGAGGACTGGAATAGGGGAATTCTGCACAAGCTGTTCCCAATGCCAAAGCCTTCCTGGAAAACCTGCCCCAGATTGCGTGGCTGCCCCTGGATCCCTGGCAGTGCCCAAGGCCGGGCTGGCCGGGGCTTGGAGCGAGCTGGGCTGGTGGAAGGTGTCCCTGGCCATGGCAGGGGTGGCACCGGCCGAGCTTTGGGGTCCCTCCCGGCCCAGCCCGTCCCTGCTCCCCCCAGCCCCAGAGCTCTCCCCGGGTCTCTCCGCTCCCTCCCTGCTGGGGGAGGCGCTGCGGGCACTGGGGAGGACTGGGAGCGACCCCTCGGGCTCCGAGCCCCGGCCAGCGGCGCTTCTGCCGGAGGGGGACAGGGAAAAGCAGATGCCAATGTGTCAGGATGCAAGTTTGTATTCTTGTGACTCCTTGGACGGGAAAGGTTTGCATTTGAAAGAGGGGAGTTTGAGGCCAGGTGGCCCTTTGAGTCGTTTCTGCCTTTAGCCGGGCCAGGCGCAGCAGTGGCCGCGCAATGAAATGCAAGGGATGGTTTTGGGGAGAGGCGAGCGTTGGGCCGGTTGAGTTTTCGGTTTCTTTGTCGGTTTTTGTGGGTCTTTTCCCCTGGGCAGCCCCTGAGGGCGCCTGAGGGGGCGCGCGGGGCGGGAAACGGCGGGAAACGGCGGGAGCGCGCGGGGGGCGGGGGGGGACGGGACACCCGCATGGGGGTGTGGGGGTGCTGAGGGTGTGGGGAGGGGTCTGGGGGTGCTGAGGGTGTGGGGAGCGGGTTGGGGTGCTGAGGGTGTGGGGAGCGGGTCTGGGGGTGCTGAGGGTGCGGGGAAGCGGGGGTATGGGGGTGCTGAGGGTGTGGGAGGGGTTCTGGGGGTGCTGAGTGCGGTGTTGGGGCGGGGTCTGCGGGGTGCTTGAGGGGTGTTGGGGAGGCGGGTATGGGGGTGCTGAGGGTGTGGGGAGGGGGTCTGGGGGTGTGCTGCAGGGCTTTGTGGGGAGCGGGTCTGGGGGTATGCTGCGGGTGTGAGGGAGCGGGTTGGGGGTGCTGGGGTGTGGGGAGCGGGTCTGCGGGTGCTGAGGGTGTGGGGAGCGGGTCTGGGGGTGCTGAGGGTTTATGTGGAGGGGTCTGGGGGTGCTGAGGGTGGGGGGAGCGGGTTTGGGCGTCCCGGGCTGTGGGGAGAGGGTTTGGGGGTGCAAGGAGACGTTCCAGAGAAGGGATGGTTCATTTGAAAGGAATTGGATCAGGGAGAGGACAGAGCAAGGACATCCAGGAAAGAAAGGAAAAGAGGAGGCAAGGCACTTTGCCTGGACTAGACCTCTTAAGTCCTCTTTCTATTTTCAAGCCTTTGGACAAACTCCTCTTTCTTGCCTTCTCCTCTCTTCTTTTTCTCTGCTTTTGTTCCCACAGGTATTGGTAGTTTGGGCTGGTAAATTTGTAAAAGCCCTGAGGCTGAATACTGGTTTGAGAAATCCAGAGGTGGTGTGGGATAAAGGATTGTGCCAGTGCTTCTTTGCTGCCTGAAATAAAAGCTCTCAGAAATGTTTCTGGTCTGAATTCAGTTTAGCCCTTAGCATTGGTTTGGAACTAAAGGAATGTTCACCTGCAAACCACTGTCCCCACGGGAAGAGGACATTGGAAAACCACTGTCCCCACGGGAAGAGGACATTTTAAAACCACTGTCCCCACGGGAAGAGGGCAGTGGCAAACCACTGTCCCCAGCAGAAGAAAACCCTGTCCCGTGCGGCTCCACTGAATCGTCACGGCTGGAGCACCACGGGACTGGGAAGGAGCCGGACGTGGAGTCTCAGCTGGAGCACCCACAGAGGCGGCCCAAGAGTGGTGTGTTTGCCAGGGGCAAACTCCGAGCCTGCCCAGGGTGAGGGACAGGGAGCCAACGCTGCCATCTCAGCCAAGGCAGCGACTGCTGCCACTGCGGCCACGAGTGTCACCACCGGCACGACAGCCAGGGCAGCCAAGGCAGCCAACAATGTCACTGCTGCCACTGCTGCCACCACTGGAACGACAGCCAAGGCAGCCAACACTGCCATCGCTGCCACCACT